TCTCTCTCTCTCTCTCTCTCTCTCTCTCTCTCTCTCTCTCTCTCTCTTTTTCTTGGCTCTCAACACAAGTCCATATTTTTATTGGTTATTTTATTTATTTACATTTCAAATGTTATCCCCATTCCCATTTCCCCTCCACAAACTGCCTATCCCCTCCCCCATCCCCTGCTTCAATGAGGGTGTTCACCTACCTGCCCTCCCACTCTTGCCTCAGTGCCCTGCATTCCCCTATGCTGGGTCATCAAGCCTCCACAGGACCAAGGAGCTCCCCTTCCACTGATGCTAGATATGGCAATCCTCTGCTACTTATCTAACTGGAACCATGAGTCCCCCCCAACATGTGTACTCTGTGGGTACATTTACACAATGGAGTACTACTCAGCTATTAAAAACAATTACTTCGGGGCTGGAGAGATGGCTCAGCGGTTAAGAGCACTGACTGCTCTTCCAGAGGTCCTGAGTTCAAATCCCAGCAACCACATGGTGGCTCACAACCATCCGTAATGAGATTGGATGCCCTCTTCTGGTGTGTCTGAAGACAGCTACAGTATATTCATAAATAAAGTAAATAAATAAATCTTTAAAAAAAAACAATTACTTCATGAAATTCACAGGCAAATGGATGGAACTTGAAAATATCATCCTCAGTAAGGCAACCCAGTCACAAAAGAACACACATGGTATGTACTCACTGGTACGTGGATATTAGACCAAAAAAATAAAATAGCTCTCCCCCTACGGTCGACCCCTAGACTTCCACGCCCTCCAGAAGGGTTCCTGGTATGCCTGGCTTTGCCCTCGTTTCTCTCCCTAGAGAGCTTGGCCTCTTGATCGCCACAACAAAAATTGGCTTTTTCCTAAACCAAGGCCGCCCTTGATATGGCCGCTAACATTGGGGAGCCTTCCTTTATGACAATATTACACCCCAAACTGACAAATGGTTGGTAACTTGAACATTTACAAGAGACTAGGATGGCTGTGAGTTAGCCCAAGGACGGGATTATTGTAGGTCCACTTCCCAGGGGTCCACCCAATGCAGCCGAAAAGGAGTGCGTGGTGCTGGGAGTGGGTGCAGCCTACATGGCTTAAGACAGGGCTCTCACCCTCCTTTCACCCACATCGGAGTCCCTTGACGTTGCCCATCGTCGACAGCCTAAAGCCTTCAACCATCGATGTGACTCGTCTCACATCAGTGTTTTGGGGTTGTGAACTTGTCTAAGACCCCCATAATTAGACTCCAAATTCAAAATTCACATAGTTGGGATTGATCATAAGACGCCTTCTCTAACTAAACAGAGAAGGGGGAGATGCCAGAAGCCAGGACCCTCGCCCTTACCCTCACCCCCTACCTTTCCCCACCTGCACAATGTCCTCTGAAGCTTGGCAACTGCAAGATCCTGCTTAGCAACTGCAGATAGACTCAAAGCAGAGTACCATATCTTCTTAAGAATAGCAGGGAGACCATAACTCAAGCAGTGTACCATATCTTCTGAAGAACAGCAGGTAGATCATAATTCAAGGTAGTGTACCATATAGACCATGACATGTTTCAAGGCACAGGCCAAGAAGATTTTGTACTTTTCCACCACCTGGCCCCTCTTACCCCCTCCCCTTGTAAAACATGCTATAAAAAAGCATTTCATGTTCAAAAAAAAAGAAATTAAAAAAAAAAAGAAAAAAAGAAAAAGCTAAAAAAAAAAATAAAAGAGCTTGGAATACCCATAATACAACTCACAGACCATAAGAAACCTAAGAAGAAGAAAGACCACATCAAACTGTGGATGCTACAGTCCTACTCAAAAGGGGAAAGAAAATAATCTCGGGAAGTAGAGGAAGAGAGGGATTTTGGAGAAAGGAAGGGGAGGGAAAAGGGGGGCTGGCTCAGATATGAGAGGAGACTGGGGAGAAGTACAGAGGATTAAGTATTTGAAAGAAGGTATGTAGCAGTGGGGGAGGGGGAACGGGGTGTAGCCACTAGAAAGTTCCAGATGCCAGGGACCCAAGAGATTCCTAGGACCCAACAGAGCAGACATTAGCTGAAATACCCAACAAAGGTGAGCTAGAACCTGTAGAGATCATATTCAGTGGATAAGCACGGTCCTGGTTGACAGATGGGGCCATCCACCCATCTCAAAAATAATAATCTAGAATTCCTCCTGTCAAAAGGAAATGCAGGGACAAGAATGGAGCAGAGACTGAAGGAAAGATCATCCAGAGACTGTTCTACCTAGGGATCTATCCCATATACAGACACAAAACCCAGACACTATTGCTGATACCAAGAAGTGCCTGCTGACAGGAGCATGGTGTAACTGTCACCTGAGAGGCTCTGCCAGAGTCTGACCAATGCAGATGTGGATGCATGCAGCTAAACATTGGACTGAGTGTGGGGACCCCAATGGAAGAGTTAGGGCAAGGATTGAAGGAGCTGAAGGGGTTTGGAACCCCTTAGGAAGTACAACAATATCAGCCAACCAGACCCCCCAAATTCCCCAGGGACTAAACCCATACCATCTATATTTCTATCATCTATGAAAGTATTAAAACTTCTACTTTTTTGTTTGTATGTTCATAAACATTCATAATAACACATAGAAAGAAAATTAATTTTTGGAGCTTGTATGTTGTACCATCTGTCAAAAGACCTTTAAACTTTTCATGTACTGATATGAAAGAGCTAATTACATACCATTAAGGTTCCAGTGGAATTTCCTCGATAACTCAGCCACTTCTTCCCATCAAGGCTATACATGATGATAAACTGAGAGATATAAAGGCTGGAAAATTTCTGACGGGCACCCTGAGTCTTGATGCCATGAATAATCATTGGTGTCAACAGATCTACCTACCAATTAAAACAACTTATTTTAATCTATTTTTAAAAGTACATAGTATTCCCTGAAAAATATTAGTTTTCATTGCTATTAATTATCCACTTAGGTAAACTCTATTGCTACAACTATCTTGCATATTCAGGGAAAGCAGGCACTAATGTTGAAATGTGATCATATATGTATGTAAAGCCATGAAACATGTGTCTGTTGTTTTGAATATTCTTGGCCCATGGAATGGTACTATTTATTAGGTGTAGCTTTGTTGTCTTGAAGCCAGTCTTCTCCTGTTTGCCTTCAGATCAAGATGTTGAACTCTCAGCTCCTCCTGTGCCATGCCTTCCTGGGAGCTGCCATTCTTCTGCCTTGATGATAATGGACTGAACTTCTCATCCTGTAAGCTAGCCCTAACTAATTGTTGTTCTAATAATAGTTGTGTTGGTGGTCATGGTATCTGTTCACAGAAGTAAAACCCTAACTAAGACAATATGGTAGGAATGAGTAAACAGGTGTTTATTGAATTATCTATACACTTCTTGACAAACTAGATCACTTTCAGATCATTGAGTCATTTCCTCCTCAAAGACATCCATGGGGCTGCACGTATAAACCAGAATAGTCTAATAGATGGACCTGATTGATCATGGGCTAAATGATACTATTTTTGATATGTTTAGTTAAATAAAATGTCTTATTAAGATGAACTTCATGGACAAGGATCATTGAGTAATGTGGTTGCTGTGCATGAGAATCTGACTTTAGACCTCAGCACCCACAGAAAAGCCAAGAATAGAAACTAATGCAGCCACTAAGGAAATCAGTGTGGAGACTCCTCAAAAAACTAAAAATAGAACTACCAGAACTATTACATGATCCAGTTATACCACACTTGGGCATATATCCATAAATCTCCATTTTAGAGAGTTGCCTGCCATTATAGAGTTGCCTGCTGCTTATCCATGTTCACTGCTGTTCTACTTATAATAGCCAGAAAATGGAAATGGCCTAAATATCAACCAGTTGATAAATGGATCAAGAAAATGTGGCATATTTATACAATGAAATATTATGTAGCTATTACAAAACTGACATTATGACATACTAAAGCACATGGGTGGATCTAGAAACAACGATTCTAAGTGAGGTAACCAAGACCAGACAGAAAGACAAATGTTACTTGTTTTCTCTTATTTGTGGATGTTAGTTTTGAATCTTTAGAAATATGTGTTTCATTTGGAAGTTGGGAAGTTACTTAAGGGCCATCGAAGGGGGGGGGGCTTTCATGGGAGGGAAAATAGGAGATTCTAGTAAAATGGTTAAAAGGGAATTATGGAAAAAGAAGGTTTGAATTTGGGTTGGGGTGGGAAGGACCAGGAGAAGAGTGCAAATAACATTTAAAGGCTTTTTGAAAAAGTCATATAGAAATCTATATGGCTCCCATAGGCTCATTTATTTCAATTCATAGTTATTAGGAATTACAACTACTGGAGAGGGTTTAGGAGGTATAGCCTTGTTAGGGGAAGTGTGTCACTGGGGGTAGGCTTTGGAGTTTCAAAAGCACAATCTAGGCCTCATATCACTCTCTTCCTGCTGACTGAGGTTCTGGATGTAGCATCTTCAGCCACTTCTTCAGCACCATATCTGCCTGCATGCCAGCATGCTTTCTACCATGACAACAATGGACTAAACCTCTGAAATTGTAAGCCATCCCCAATTAAATACTTTCTTTTATAAGAGTTACCTTGGTATCTCTTCACAGCAACAGAACACTGACTGAGACCAGGAGTATTGCTGCTACAGACCTGACCATGCTCCTTGTGGCAGTATGTGGACTTTGGATTAAGAAAGCAATTGACCTAAAGGGTCATACTAGTAGGATTTTAGAAGAGAGTGGTTCTGAGAGCAATATAGATTATGACAGCCCTACTCAAGAGGTTTCATAGGAAAATATTAAGTAAGTGCCTAGAGACAATTCTCATGATATTTTAATGAACAATGTAGCTGCTTTTTGCCCTTGTCTTAAAACAAATCTGCCTGAGGCTAAATTAAAGAGTTTTGGATTAATATCATTGGCAGAGGAGATTTCAAGACAGCCTAGTATTGACTCTGTCATGTGGTTACTAGTGGTCGCTCCTATGCAGATTTATATTGAAAAAGAACAAGCTGAGCAATGAAAATACAAAATGTACAGCTTGAGCAGAAAAGTGGCCTCAGGAAGTGTAATGGAGCTGAGCTAAGTCTAGTGTTCAAGGAGATAAAAAGTTTACAGAGAGGCTCCAGGCTAAATGGAATAAAAGGAGTGAGTGGTGGCCCAGGGATAGACCCCATCCAGCTTTCAACTTGTGAAGATGAATCAATAAAAAGGTTAAGCAGTGAAGGAAACCATTGAAAACAAAAAGCTGTTGAAGATGTAATTGAATGAGAGGCCAAGTTCCAGCCACAGAACTTGGCAGTTTTGACCATGTGGTTCTGTTTTTAGAGTCAAGGATATAAGAAAGGGGTTGTGATATTTCCCTCTGAGGCTAAGGAAAACTGCTGAGGTTAGGCATATTTCAGAAAGGCAGTTGTATGGAGCTGTTAAAGTGAAGCTTAGATTTCAACCGAGTCCCCAAGAAGTTGTAGATGCAAGAGCTGTGGGATACCTGCCGAGGAGAGCTGCAGACTGAGTGTACAACCAGCTCAAGAGAAATACATTGCAGTCAGCAAAGACGAAAGGAGTTAAAAAGAGATCTGTGCTGGCTAGTTTTATGTTAACTTGACATAAGCTAAAGTCATCTGAGAAGAAGAAACCTCAATTTAAAAATGCCTCTGTAAGATTGGGCTGTAATTAGTGATTGATGTAGAAGAACCCATCCTCCTGTGATTGGAGTTATCTCTGGGCTGATAATTTTGGGTTCTATAAAAATGTAGGCTGAACGAACCATGCTGAACAAGACAATAAGAAGCACTTCTCCATGGCATCTACATTAGCTCCTGCTTCTAGATTTCTGCCCTGAGTTCCTTCCTGACTTCCTTTGATGATTCAAGTATAGGCAAATAAAGTCTTTCCTCCCTAAGCTACTTTGGTCATGATGCTTCATCACAGCAATAGTAACTCTATCTAGACAAGATCCAAAAATTGTTTTGATATCAAACATGGATATACATAATTTAGAGTTTGGCCTGCTGGTTTTAGGTCTTGCTTTGGCCCACTATTTCCTCACTATGCTGCCTTTTTCCTTTTTTGGAATGGAAATGTATATTCGGTGCCATTGTATATTGGAAGTATGTGGTCTGCGATTTGATTTTGATTTTATAGAGGTTACTCTTGAGAGATTGCCTTGAGTCTCAGAAAAGACTTTGAATTTTGGATTTTTAAGAGTGTTGAGAATGTTATAGAATATGGAGGCTTTAAACCTAGTGCAGTGGACATATACTATAACCTATGAGGATGAACCTAGTGAGGACTCCTAGTAATGAAGGGTATAGAGCCTGAACTGGTAATCTTTGGTAACTTGGAAAGGCTTCCATTGGTAGAATCAGGACACCAATCCAGTCACAAAATACCTGTCCTGCCTGCAAGATGCGTTGGAGCAATGGTGGCTCAGAGCTTGTGAGAACTGACAACCAATGACTAATCTAACTTGAAGCCCAAGCCACAAGAGGGAGCCCAATCCCTATACTGCCTGGATGGACAGGAATTAGAAACTGAATGGCTTGAAAACCTAGGGTAGAATGAAACATGATTGATTTTTTTAAAAAGCCACAAATTGATCCTTAATAATATTTTGTTATACTCATAGACCAGTGCCCAGTTATCATCAGAGGGACTTCTAGCAGCTGGTGGGAGTAGATGCAGAGACCCACACCCAAATATTAGGCAGGGCTCAGTATCTTGGGGTTTCTATTGCTGTGAAGAGACACCATGACCTAGGCAACTCTTATAAAGAACATTTAATTGGGGCTGGCTTACAGGTTTAGAGGTTCAGTCCATTATCATCCTGGCAGGAAGCATGGCAAGCATTCAGGCAGGCATGGCGCTAGAGGAGCTGAGAGTTCTACATCTTCATCCAAAGGAAGTCAGGAGCAGACTGTCTCTTCCACACTGAGTGAAGCTTCAAAGCCCACCCACAGTGACATACTTCCTCCAACAAGGCCACACCCACTCAAACAAGGTCACACCTCCTAATAGCACCACTCCCTAGGCCAAGCATATTCAAGTCATCACACAGGAAATCCTGTAGAAGAGTGGGAGGAAGGATTGTAGGAACCAGAAAGGTCAAGGACATGAGGAAAATACATTCCATAGAATTAACTAAGAAGGGCTCATAGGGGTTCACACAGATTGAAACAGCAATCACAGAACCTACATGAGTCTGTGCTAGGTCCTCTGTATACATGGTGCTGTTGTTTAGCTTAGAGTGCTTGTGGAACTCCTAACAATGGGAGAGATGTCTAATTCTTTTGCCTACTTTGGGGATCCTTTTCCTCCTACTGAATTACCTTGTCCAGCTTTGACATGAGGGTTTGTGCCCAATCTTACTGCATCTCATTATGCCATGTTTTATTGACATCCCTGGGAAATCTGCTCTTTTCTGAAGGGAAACAGGAGTAGATCTGGAGGAAAGGGCAGATGGGGGTAGGACTGGGAGGAGTGAAAGGAAGGAAGCCATGGTCAGGATGTATTTTATGAGAGAAGAATAAATTTTTACAGAGTTGAACTAAATGTATTTTCTACATTATGATATTGTTATAAGTTTATGGGAACCAGGGAGTGGAATGAGGTGGTTTGAATAAGAATGGCCCTCATAGGCTCATATATTTGAATGCTTGATCATCAAGGAGTGTCACTAGTTAGAGGGATTGGGAGTCGTGACCTTGACGGGATAGGTGTGGTATTGATGAAGGAACTGTGTCACTAGGGGTGAGCTTGAGGTTTCAAAAGCACAAACCAGGCCCAGTGTGGCATTCTCTTCCTACTGCCTGTGGATTCAGATGTAGAACTCTCAGCTACTTCTCCAGCACCATGTCTGCCTACATGCTGCCATGCTCCCCGTCTAGACAACAATAGAATAAATTGTAACTGAAATTGCAAACAAGCTCCAATTAAAAGCTTTCTTTTCTAAGAGTTGCCATGGTCATGGTTTCTCTTCACAGCAATAGAACACTAAGACATGTATCTACAGTATTAGATAATACTGTAGAAGATACACACACACACACACACACACACAGGTAGAGAGAGAGAGAGAGAGACAGAGACAGAGACAGACAGAGACAGAGACAGAGAGACAGAGTTAAAGTGGAGTTATCCTAAAATAGGGCAACAATGCTCATACTGAATATCACAGCTAACAAAAAAAAAAGCTCAATGCTGGGAATAGGTTACCTATTTTAGAGTTCTTAGTCAATGAGGTCACATAGATCCCCAAACATTATAGGCTATTGTCAATGTTATTGTTTGCCTTCTAGAACTTGATGGTAAAACCCAATTACTGAAGACACCACACACTTGAGTCATAGATCTTGGATAAATCAAGCTGGTACTGACATGGAAGTTTCATCCATACTTGTTATCTTTTTCCCCCATATAATATTTTTATTGATTTTCAAAGAGTTTCACATTATGCACCCTGATTACAATCTCTTCCCAGTCTTTCTAAGTCTAGTCCCTCTCATGAACTGCCCCACCAAATAAAAATAAGAACAAAGGAAGAAAGAGAGAAAGAAAGAAAGAAAGAAAGAAAGAAAGAAAGAAAGAAAGAAAGAAAGAAAGGAAGAAAGAAGTAGCAACAACAAAAAGTTGATGTTATATTATCTATGTATTCACTGGAACAAGGTCAAACTGTCAATGGCCTGCTCCCTAAATAGAACTGAATCCTTTCTAGCTTTCATGATGCTAGACTTTTCTAAGTAGTTAAAATCTTATCCAACTATGAATTCTGTAAACTACAATAATGCCTAATCTGACAATATATATGTCCACTGGTATAATAATGGCACAAATGTTATTGAAGTGATTGACTACTTTCTGCTTAGATCTAACCTACTCCATGACATGGAACCCATAACTGAAACTGTCAAAATGTCCAAAAACCTGAGGTTTGATAAGTCATAGGCCCTAAAGGATGACCTAATACTATTATTTTGCTAAATGGATATAGTATTACATTTACTTCTGATGACTTATTGCTATACTCATAGCTCAAAGTATTTCTCAATCCTCATTAGACAAGTTTCTCCTTACAGTTGATGACAATTAACACAGAGACTCCCACCTGTTCAGCATACAAAGAATAAGAGTGCTCAGCCTAAAAAGTTGGACATACATATTAAATATCTCCTACAGCTCAGGGATTTTTGAGGAAGATGGAGTAGAGAGATTGTAAAAGGCAGAGATGGTCAATAACAACAAAGAACAGTGATTCCTAGACACAACATGGTTGTAACACCTATGAACTCAAAGCAATGTAACAATATGCACAAAAGCCTACACAAGCTTCAGCCAGACAAAAAATCCAAATATGGGGTAGGGTGAAAGTGGGTATAAAGTCCTACCACTAGCTCATGAAGTTTGAGCATTTGATAGCTTCTGGGAGAAGGAATATCAGCTTTCTTCACCAGAGTAACACCAAGTAGGTTGAACACACACAGAGAAGGTCCCACTATCAAGACAAGCTGGACAATACAAAGTGGACTCAAAGTAGAAGAAAAAAGAAGAAAAAAATCTCAGAAGTTGGGTGGGAAGGTAAGAGAGAGTGGAGAGGACAGTTATAGAAGGAATTGTGGGAGGAAGCATGAATATGTTCAAGGTACATTATTTGAGATTCCCAAAGAATAAATACAAATATTGTTAAACATAATATGGAAAGTAACAGACAAATGCAACTGATATTTAACCCTGGTGTTCACATGTGCTATACATAAGCACACGCACATGCATGCACACACATAGATTCATACCATTCATACATACAAAGACACATTAAAATAAAAAGATGATGTTCATGTTCATTTTTAATATGGCTACTAGAAAATGCCAAACAATACATGTGATTTTGTGTACATCATATTTCCATTGATGAGGGCTGCTCTTGATAATCTGATAATCTGAGAGACTGTGTACACTAATAGTCAGATAATCTGAGAGACTGTGTACACTTAAAAATGTTGAGCTAGCCTACCTCAAGTATTAGTCCATCTTAGCTTACTACAGCAGACTATATTAAGTAGGTATTTCCTAATACCCAAGGGATATAAATCTTCTGAAAAAGATTTAATTATACAAAAGAAGCTACAATTTATTTGCGTTTAAGATTAAGGACTAAGCTACCTATTTTGTATAGAAATGAAGAACATTAGGACTCAGGGGTACCTACTCAGTTGTAAATATCTCATCATAGAAAATACAAGGTCTTGAAAATAGTGTCTTTAGTTAGGCTTCCATTGATGCAAAGAGGCACCATGACCACAGCAATAGTTAATTGAGGCTGTCTTACAGTTCAGAAGTTTAGTTCATTATAATCATGGCAGTAAGCATAGCAGTGTCCAGGCAGACATGGTACTGAAGAAGGAGCTGAGAGTTCTACACCTTGATTCAATGGCAGCCAGAAGGAGACTATCTTCCGTACTTGGTGGAGCCTGAGCACAGGAGTCCTCAAAGCCCTTCCCCACAGTGACTCAACAAGGCCACATCTCCTTCAATAAGGCCACACTTCCTAACAATGTCACTCCCTATGGCCAAGCATACAAACACACAAATCTATGGGGGCCAAACCCATGCAAACCACCACAGGTAGTAAATTCAAATTTATAGAAATCATTCTGATGTTAGATTCCAAGTAGAAAGAAATGGGATGAATCTGTATATTAAATTCTATTCCAAGTGACTAATTTATGAATATTTTTGAACAAATTAAGTCATTCTATTCTATAGTTTCCTCATATGTTAAATGATATTCTGTGGGAAAGACTGCAAAATGATAATATTTTGAACTTGTTAAATGTTGATTTCTCATAGTTTTCTAACCTTGATCCAAGAAAAGGGCTCCTTGGTACTCCAGGCATTGATTGATCCAGAATAATGAAGTCTTGCCAGGTTTGGGGCCCATTGTCCTTTGTCCAAGAAAGAAGAGAGAGATTATATTATTGTATTTTCGATTGGATTTATTGTAAAAACTTGGAACAACAGTATTATCTAGAGAAAGGTTAATTCTAGCTGCAGAAGAGATAAAATAGCATAAAAGTTTTATAGCATGACAGTATTGATTATTAGCTAAAGGATTTGCTTTTTGGTGTTGTATATTTCATGTTCTATTTTTTTTTGGAAGGGAAGGCAATACTGGGGAATGAACCTGGGGCCTTGCATGTGTTAAGCAAATGTTCTACCACTGAGCTATATATGCAATATACAAGAGATATTAAAATGTTTCTTTACTATATAATGTACATTTATTATAGAAATGCTAGAAAATTAAAAATAAAATAAAAAAATAAAAGCATAGTGTTTCTATCCAGAAACCCATTAAATAAATAATACATAAACTTCTTTCCCAAGGGGAATTTTCTCCTTTAAAGTAGAGGTTGACAAACTTCTAAATGTGTGCATGTGTACACACACACACACACACACACACACACATGCAAAGTGTAATAAAATTTTTTTTCAACTTAATATTTTTTAAGTGATTATTTGTAAATTTCACATAATACACCCTGATCACACTCACTTCTCACTTTTCTCAGGTCCCCTCCCCCCACCATGATGACTTTCCCCTAAGAAAAGGAAGAAAGAAAAAACAAACCCAATTTGTGCTGCCTATATACTCAATGGAACATGGCCAAACTCCCAATGGCAAGCCCCTTAAGGAAAACTGAGTCCCTTTGTACCTGTACCCTTGAATATTTGGGAAGAGGAAGTATACTGGAAGACTGGGAAGAGGTACATGAAAGGATAATAGAGGACAATGAATAGAATCAAAGTATATTATATTCAATTAAGAAAACAAAAATGTTACAATGAAACCAACTCTTTTGCACAAGTAATATAGACTAAAAATAGAAAATTATTTTTAACTCATATACAAAAAACATAAACAATAATCTGTAAGCCCTTATTCTAGATTAATTTTCTATAAACCCTATTTAAGCTTTACTATCACTGTTCAGAAGAAAGGGTATGCTCAATAGAATGGACTCACAAAAGCAGTTCTGAAAGTACTAGAGGAGGGTATTTCAAGAGTTAGTGTCATTGCTGAGGTAAGAAATGAAAGTAGCCTGAAATAAGATGGTCATAATGGAAAATGAAATGAAGAATATATACTTGAGAAGAGTACTGAGCAGAAGTAAGAAAAGCATAGAGGAGGGCTGAATAGATGGTGCAGCAGTTAACACTTTTTGCTCTTCCAGAGGACCCAGGTTTGATTCCCAGCACCTACAAGACAGCTCACAAACTGTAATTCCAGCCTCAGGGAATTCTATACCCTCTTCTGGCTTCTGTAGGCATCAGGCATGCCTATTTCCATGAAGACAAAACATCCATGTATGTAAAATAAAATAATGTAAAAAAGAGAAAAGCATGGAAGGGAGTAGATTGATTATTTGAAATTGTCCAACAGAAATGAAAAAAAATCAGCCCAGATTCTAATAACAAAAATAATAGTATTTACCATAGTGTCCTGAAGCTGTAATCTGGAAATCTCTGATGCTTCCAGAAGCCATTCCCAGAGGAATCTGGCACTCTGAAATCAAACACAGAAGTTAGAAATGACTCAGAACCCATTAAATACATCAATAAATGACAATATTTTTAGGTAAGTGGTAGTTCTATTACTTATTTAAGGTTTGTCTTAGTGTTTTACTGCTGTGAAAAGACACCATGACCAAGACAACTCTGGTAAGGACAACATTTATTTGGGGCTGGCTTACAGGTTAAGAGATTTAGTCCATTATCATCAAGGCAGGATCCAGACAGGCATGGTGCAGGAGGAGCTGAGAGTTCAACATCTTCATCTGAAGGCTGTTAAGAGAATACTGACTTCTAGGCAGCTAGGATGAGGGTCTTATCCCACAGTGACACACCTACTCCAAAGGGTCTCACCTCCTAACTGTGTCACTCCCTGGCCTTAGCATATATAAGCCATCACATTCCACTCTCTGTCCCCATAGGTTTGTTCAAACATATGAGTCTATGGGGGCCATGCCTAAACATGGAATAATGTAAAAATACTTTTAGTCCAACATCCAAAGTCCCCATAGTCTATAGTAGTCTCAACAATGTTAAAAGTCAGGGCATAAAGTAAGGGATGGGCTTGCCATCCCACAGTCAAAAACTCTGACCCATAATTGTTCCTGTCTGAAAGAACTGCAGAGACAAAAATGGAGAAGAGCCTGAGGAAAAGGAGGTCCAGGCTCAAATTGGGATCAAGCTCAAGGGGAGTCCCCATGGCCTGATGCCATTACTGAGGCTATGGAGTGCTCATAAAAAGGGGCCTATCACGACTGCCCTCTGAAAGACCCAACAAGCAGCGGAAAGAGTCAGATGCGGAGATTTACACCCAACCAATGGACAGAAGCTGCTGATCACTGTGGTTGAATTAGGAAAAAGCTAGAAGAGGCTGAGGAGAAGGGTGACCCTGTAGGAGGACCAGCAGTCTCCACTAACCTGGACCCCTGAGATCTCTCAGATACTGGCCCATAAACCAGGCAGCATATACCAGCTGATATGAGGCCTCTAACACATATATAGCAAGGACTGCCGGGTCTTAACTCAGAGAAGATGCACCGAAGGCCCCAGAGTGGGGAGGTCTTGTGGGGTGGGGGGTGGGGAGGATGGAGACATCCTCATGGAGACTGGGCTTGGGGTATGTATGGGATATGGAACAGTCAGAGGGTGGACCAGGAGAGGGATAAAATCTGGACTGTAAAAAAAAAGATTAAATAAAAATAATAAGAAAAAAACCAATGTTAAAAGTCAAAAGGTCAAGGTTTCCTCTTAGATCCATCCAATCACTTATCTTTAATCCTCAAAGCAAGACAGGAAACCAGCTGGGCAAACTCCAAACTGCATCTCCATGTCTGATGTCAAAGCAGTCTTCAAATCTTCAACTCCCTTCTCATCTTTGTTGATAGCAACTATCTTCTTTCTCCTGAGCTGGTTCTACTCCCTGTTAGCAGCTTTCTTCAGAAGATAGCCCATGGCTCTGGCATCTCAAACATCTTGGGGTCTACAAGGCAACTTCAATGTTACAGCTTCTTGTTTCTATGTCTGGGATCCACACATGATTTTCTGTCCTCCAAAGGGCTGGTGTCACTTCTCCAGCTCTGCCCTCTGTAGCACTCTAAGCTCAGCTTGATCCACTCAGCTGCCTCTGCTGTTCTTGGTGATCATCCCATGGTACTGGCATCTCTAATACACTGGTGTCTTCTATCATAACTAGGCTTCACCAATAGCCTGTCATAGGCTCTCTTCATGGTGCCATGTCTCAAATTCTTTGGATGATCCCTTCAATCATGAGCCATCAACTACAACTGAGGCTGCACCTTCACCAATGGCCTTCATTGGTCTCTCACAGTGCCAAGCCTCAGCTGTTCTTCATGACCCCCTCATGCCTTCAAAACTAGTACCATCTTGGACTCTTACACATTATCAAGTATAGCTGCAGCATGAGGTATAACCCTGGCTATACCTACAGCTTCTTTGTGCTCTCAGTAAACACTTCCCAGAAGATTTCACCTCAGTGATGCTGGTCTCTTCTTAATCACCACTAATTTCTTAGCTCCAGCTAACCAGCATCAATTGTCCCAGTAGTCTCCTTTTCCTCTTGACTCTAAAGCCAGAGCCACATGGCCAAAGCTGCTGAGTTCTGCTGCTTGCAGGAGCTGGAACATGGCCCTTTTGTTCTATTACATTATCACCAGCTTTCTGTTTTCCAATTCCTTCACTGTCCTGGAACTTGCACTGTAGATTGACCTTGAACTTGGAGATCTGCATGCCTGTCTCCTGGGATTAAAGGTGTGTACCTCCATGCCTGGATTTAAGCCTTTCTTCATCTAAAACTTGCTGGATCTTAGGCTGGCCTTGACCTAAGAGATCTGCTTGGCTTTATCTCCTGGGATTTAATGTGTGTACCACCAAGCCTGGACCTAAATTTAGCTGTGTAGAATCTTGCCCCAAAGTCCCACTCCCTTAATTTGTTATCTCCTTGAACACAGGATTCAGCTCCATTTCACTTCCTAGTACTCCTTTAACCTGAAACACACATTATGTCATTTTCATTTCTCAGCTAACTATGCTTGTTTAAAATGCTGTTCCTGAGACTTAACCAGAGAACAAAGTCTATGATGAGTGTTTGTGAGACTTCCTTTGTGAAAGCAATTAATCAGAGTCTATTTGCCTTGGCCTCAGGCAGACTCTTCAAACAAGGAGAAAAAGTCACCATATTCTTCAGCAAAATACCACAAAAAAACAGTCTATAGGCCACATATTGAAATTATCCATTGAAACCTCTTGAGCCAGGTCTGCACAACTCAAATCATTCTCAGTAACAAAGTCTTCCAAATTCCTCCTAGGATAGCCCAATAAGCCCCATTTAAAGTATTCCACTGCCTTCCAAATCCAAAGTCCCAAAATCTACATTCTTCCAAACAAAAGCATAGTCAGGCTTATCAGAGCAATACCCCAGTCCCTGGTACCAACCTCTGTCTTAGTTAGTGTTTTACTACTGTTTATAGGCATCATGACCAAGGCAACTCTTTTTTTTTTCCAGTAGAAACACAGCAAAGTGCAGCTTTATTAGAAAAACATGATTATCAATACAAATAGCACTTTTAATAAGCTGACTATTTCAAGCTTCTTAAAGATTTTATAATAGAAACAACCATTTACAGGGCTGGAGAGATGGCTCAATGGTTAAGTGTACTTTGCTGTTCTTGCAGGAAGACATAAGTTCAATTCCACGCACCCCTATCAGGTGGTTCACAACAGCCTGTAACTACCTCCAGTGGATCCAATGCATTCACATGGCCTCAGTGGGCACTATACTTACCTGAACATGGCCACAAAGAGATTACACAAATATACATATACCTAACAATAAAATAAATCTTTAAAAAAATACTTGGTCATTCTGATGTCACTTTGGAAAAAACTAGTGTCATGATGAATTACATGTTTTCAACTTTACCTATATACACCATTGTTCCAAAAAAAATCTTTAAGTTATACTGGGAATGCATATAGTAGTTTTCAAAGTAATAAGGAGTAAGATATCTGAAAAACAGATGTTTGGAAACAAGACAAGATTAGGAATCTTGAGCTAGGTTATAAAACAAATTGGTTCTTTGGGTCTCTGGTTTATGGTGGTAAATTTTGACAATATAGCCAGAATTATCGAAAGAAAGAAAGCTGATTCTGAATCTTTAAATATTCTGAATTTTTGCCACATTGCATAAAAATAACAAAAGTGGAATATGAACCTTCACATACCCACATATGTATCCATGCACTGCATGGATTAAAAAAAATCTGTGCCAATATATCATATGTATTTTTGAACCGTGACAAAGATAAAAATGTATGGAAGAATTAAAGTTGTATTTCTTTCTACATCTCAACTCCCAGAAAACAGCTCTCCTGTATCAGCCTGCCACTCTATGACAGTAAAGAGTACTGATGTTCTTGGTCCTAAACAGAGGCACACCACCTAGTGAAACACAGCAGAGAATACTGGTGCCCTTGCTCAGTCCTAAAGAGAGGTACACTGCCTCCTGACACACAACCTTATTTTTCACTCTCTTAAATATCTCAGCGTTCTTTGGATCTGCGTACTTCCACATATTTAGCAATTTAGTAGAGTGTCTTTTACAAATTTCCTCTTTCTAAGTGACAGAATTTCACACCCCAACTGTCTTTCCTTTTGTGCTGCCCAGTCATTCCCATTTCTTTCCTGTGAAGAGTTATAAATGTGTTTTCTTTTTCTTTCTTTCTTTTTTTATTGGATGTTTTAATTACATTTCATATGTTGTCCCCTTACCCCATCCCCCACCCACCCAGGACCCCCTATCCCCTCACCCCTCCTCCTTCTTCTCTGCGGATGTAACCCCCGCCTACCCCCCCACTCCCACCTCTCCACCCTCAAAATTCCTACACCCTGGGGCGTCCAGCCTTCACAAAGTCAAGTATCTCTTCTTCCACCTATGCCCAGCAGGGCCCTCCACTCTTACCTATACAGCTGAAGCCATGGGTCCCTCCCTAAGTGCTCCCAGGCCGGTGGTTTATACCCTGGGAGCTCTGGTTGGTTGGTATTGTTGCTCTCCTCATGGGGCCACAAACCCTTTCAGCTCCAATGGCCTTCACTCTAACTCCTCCATTGGGAACCCCATTATCAGTTCAATGGCTAGTTGTGAGCATCTGCCTCTGAATATGTCAGACTCTTGAAGACCTCTGAGGAGACATCCATATCAGGCTCTTATCAGCATGCACTTCCTGACTTCCACATCAGTATCTACCTTTGGTGACTGTACATGGAATGGATACTCAGGTGGAATGGTCTTCAGACGGCCCCTCCTTCAGTTTCTGTCCCTCACTTTGTCTCCATAGTTGCTCCCATGAGTATTTTGTTGCTCCTTCTAAGAAGGACCGAATCACCCCCACTTGGTCTTCCTTCTTCATGAGCTTCATGTGGCCTGTGAGTTGCATCTTGGGCATTTGAAGGTTCTGGGCTAATATCCAATAATCAGTGAGTGAATACCATGTGTGTTCTTTTGTGATTGGCTTACTTCACTCAGGATGATAATTTCTAGTTCCATCCATTTACCTAGGAAACTCTCGAATTCATTGTTTTTAATAGCTGAGTAATACTCCATTGTGTAAATATACCACATTTTTTGAAACCATTCCTCAGTTGAAGGACATCTGGGTTCTTTCCAGCTCCTGGCTATTATAAATAAGGCTGCTATGAACATAATTGAGCATATGTCCTTGTTATATGTTCCAGCATCTTCTGGGTACATACCTAGGAGTGGTATAGCTGGATCCTCAGGTAATGCTATGTCCAATTTTCTGAGGAACCGCCAGACTGATTTCCAAAGTGATTGCACCATCTTGCAGTCCCACCAACAATGGAGGAGTGTTCCTCTTTCTCCACGCCCTCGCCAGCATCTACTATCACCTGAGTTTTTAATCTTAGCCATTCTGACTGGTGTGAGATGGAATCTCAGGGTTGTTTTGATTTGCATTTCCCTGATGACTTAGGATACTGAACATTTCTTTAGGTGCTTCTCGACCAAGGCAACTCTTATAAGGACAACATTTAAGTGAGGATGGCTTACAGGTTCAGAGGTTCAGTCCATTATCTTCAATGCGAGAGCATGGCAGCATCCAGGCAGGTATAGTGCAGGTGGAGCTGAGAGTTCTACATCTTGATCTGAAGGCTGCTAGCAGAATACTCACTTTCAGGCAGCTAGGACTAGGGTATTAAAGCCCACACCCACAGTGACATACCTACTCCAATAAGGCCATACCTACAGGGCCATACCTAATAGTGACACTCCCTGGGCTGAGCATATACAAACCATCACAAGGTTATATCCCCAAAATCTTACAAGTGAAATTTATAAGTTATCATTGGTAATTAAATCAAAACTAAGTTTCCAAATCTGTTATTGTGAAATTGAAGACTTTTAAGCACCAATCTGATAAATATCACAGCTTCATATTCAAAGGGTCCAAAGCTCATTCATTTTAAATTTAATAGTAATACAAGCTTGTATTCACCAACCAGAGTACACATGGAGGGACTCATGGCTCCAGCTGCATATGTAGCAGAGAATGGCCTTTTCTGATATCAAAAGGAGGAGAGACCCTTGGTCCTAGGAAGGCTTGATGCCCCAGTGTAGGGGAATGCTAGGGTCGGGAGACGGGGGGGGGTGGGCCCCCCCCCGAGTACCCTCATAGAAGCAGGGGGAGGGAGGATGGGATAGGGAGTTTCTGGAGGGGAAACTGGAAAAGAGGTTAACATTTGAAATGTAAATACATAAAATATACAATAAAAAGTTAATTTTAGAAAAAAAAATACAAGCTTGTATTTATTTATTTATTTATTTTGACAAAGACAGCCACTTCAAGGAGGAGAAAAAATGTATGGAAATAGACTGAAAGGTTAGTGAACTTCTATCCATAGTTACTCACGCTTGCTGTACACCAGAAAAAGAGTGCTCATCCCAGCCTGTAAGTGCTCGCCAATAAGGCATTCTACTCGCCAAATTCCAGGTCTGGATGGTAGCATTTCCAGTGTCTCAAAAACACCTTTTGAAATGAAAAGGAACAAAAATTATATTTCATTAAAAAATGAGTATAAAATACATTGGTTTATTTACAATATATAACATGAATATAGAGCTACCAAAATTCAGTTGCATCATCTTAGATCTCTCAAGTGCAAAAGATTTGTCATGTGCTCTTTTTCTCTAAAAAAGTCCTAGAGCTATCTTTACTACTGACCAGACTTAACCTTCAAGGTGATTAGAAATCACAGTAAGATCATCTAGGATCCAGGGCACTAGTTAAAGGGATCTCAAGTTATAAGAAGCTGGAGGGAGGGGAGAAGCTGTACAGGTGGCTCAGGAGTTAAATGTGCTAGTGATCTTGCAGAGGTCCAAGATTGGTATCCAATTACCTATGTCAGGTCACTCACAACTGCTTGCAATTACAGTTCCTGGGGTTCTGATGACCTCTTTTGACCTTCGTCGGCACCAGACACTTATATGTGCATACAGACACTGTTAGACTTAGGCACGCAGCTTGGAACAGATAATACCAGACCAAACGGTTCCAAAGGGAAGGGGGTTTATTCAGGGCAGAAGGCAAAGGTAGGGGAGAGAAACAGGAGAAGATGGTGGAGAAAGTGGAGAGAGAGAGAGGAGAGAAGAGGAGGCCAGCCATGACCACGTGGAGAGAAGGGGAAGGGAAGGGAGGAAGAGCGAGGAGAAACTAGAGGCAAGAGAGTAAGAGAGTAAGAGAGAGAGGAGGAGGCAGGCAGCCCCTTTTATAGTGGGCAGGCCTGCCTGGCTGTTGCCAGGTAACTGTGGGGATGAGCATACCTGGGTGTTGCCAGATAACTGTGGAGGTGGAGTTTAGACAGAATACTAACAGACACAGACACAGACACAGACACAGACACAGACACAGACACAGACACAGACACAGACACAGACACACAGACACACAGACAGACACACAGACACACACACACACACACACACACACACACACACAACTGTACAATTTAAAAGGGACAAATGGAGAACTGAAATAAAACTGTGTTTTGATCAACACTGTCATTAGTGCTTCATCAATATATCTGTAAACAAATCAGTCTTGATAGCTACTAGTATCATGTGGGATTTGAGAGGAATATAATAAGATTTTTAGGAAAGTAATATCTGGTGTTAATTATTAATTTCGAGTAGTTTTTATGTATCTGAAATTATCTTGTTCATTTGCTAATTTATTTATCTCTGTGTATAGAATAAAGTTACTTTGAAAAAGTAAGGCATTTCAGCAAGGAGCTTCTCTGTAACTGATTATATCAACTATACTAAGACCATTTAAAATAAGTTATTAATAAATACGGTAGGTAGAGAACAGAATAAACTAGCTCACACCTGGGTAGAGGTTGTACACTGCCATTTTGTACTCTTCTTTTTTCCGTACAGTGAAAACATGTCCACTGAAATGAATAGATTGGATGTTCTCATTGTTGCCCATGCTGAGAAGATACCATCGAATCCTTTGATACTGAGCCATTACTAAGCCTGGTAAGGTATCCATCACATAACCATTGATTGCTGCAGAAGAATGTAGAGAAAATTACTAAAATCTATCACTGAAGTTCCTGTTTCTCCACAGAAAATACTGACACTATTCAGAATTTCACTTACTACTCTTCAAGTCTCTGGCTCATGGCTCATTTGAAAAAGTACACATTACATTTCACAGTGAATAATATTTATATATGGATTTCGTTACCATGAAAACGATAATTCTCTTTCAAAGTGGGGTCTTCGATCTGGATATTGCAGGGTGTCTTGCAGTTCCTTTCCACATTTTCAGGGAAATACCAGCTCTTGGTCTCATCAAAGACAGTGAAAAGCAGAGCAAATTCCTGTACTGTCACTTGTCTCCCATGAGCAGGATTCAGTGTGTTCGTGTGGCAAATCAGAAGGGGTCCAATTAATCCTGAGTGCATATCTCTTTCCTAGGGTTCCCAGGAGGGCATTAATTGTATTAGTGTAAGTTCTTATCAACTTGCATGCCAAAGTACAGTTTATTCTATGTAGTAGATTCCAGAGTTATATTTCTAACATAGAAAAGTGATATTGGGAAATGCAAATCAAAACAACCCTGAGATTCCATCTCACACCAGTCAGAATGGCTAAGATTAAAAACTCAGGTGATAGTTTTAGTGATGCTGGAGAGGATGTGGAGAAAGAGGAACACTCCTCCATTGTTAGTGGGACTGCAAGATGGTGCAACCACTTTGAAAATCAGTGTGGTGGTTCCTCAGAAAATTGGACATAGCATTACCTGAGGATCCAGCTATACCACTCCTAGGCATATACCCAGAAGATGCTCCAACATATAACAAGGACATATGCTCAACTATGTTCATAGCAGCCTTGTTTATAATAGCCAGAAGCTGGAAAGAACCAAGATGTCCTTCAACAGAGGAATGGATACAAAAAAATGTGGTACATTTACACAATGGAGTATTACTCAGGTATTAAAAACAATGAATTCAAGAAATTCTTAGGTAAATGGATGGAACTAGAACTTTTAAGTGAGAATATGTCTATCCCAATAAAGAACTGCTTACAAGATCAACATCAGAGAAATAAGCCCAGGCCTTGCAGTCAAACTCATCTTCTGTGGGTGCCATATGATGTTGTACTTTCCAAAAATAAATTTTGGTTTCATTAGGCTTAACAAAGTTTCTTCTAGGTTCTTGCCCTCTCTGATCTTCCTCATAAGAAATGAGGCTAGAATAGAAAGAGTAGGGACGGGAGGCCTGGTTTTTGAAAGTCACCTGAAGAGGAAAAAAATCCAGGAGAATAATTTTTTAGAATAATAAAATCCTAAGGACTTATAAGGTTTTATATCTGTATCCCTCTAACTTATGGTCTTTATCCTATTTTTATTAACTTAGACCTTAAAAAGGTTATGAAAAAAATGTGAATTCTAGTTTTATAACATGAAAATTACAAAGGAGAAAATTATTAAACACTTAAAAGTAATTCAAAAGTCAACAGAAAATGTCACTATAACATGAGGAGTGACTACTTAAGGTTTCTTATAACAAATTCCAAGATGAATGTACATTATCTTTTTTTTTTTTTTTTGGTTTTTCGAGACAGGGTTTCTCTGTATAGCCCTGGCTATCCTGGAACTCACTCTGTAGACCAGGCTGGCCTCGAACTCAGAAATCCGCCTGCCTCTGCCTCCCAAGTGCTGGGATTAAAGGCGTGCGCCACCACCGCCCGGCTGAATGTACATTATCTTATAAATTTTTTATTTATTTTAATCAATTCTTTGAGAATTCCAAACTGTATTTTGATTACATTCACCTCTACTTTTTCCCAGATCAAACCCTACATCCCTACTCACTCATCTTTGTGTCCTTTTTAAAAACTGTTTTCTTTTTAGATTCAAAAGCCTATGCATATTTATCATAGAATATATGCAAAGTAAAATAAATTCCAAGATAGAAAAAAATGTATCTATAATCCCATAGCTTTAGAGGCGTCTATATGTTTACTAACAGTCAATTGGAAAAATGAATGAATATTTTTGGAATAAAATAAAATAACTTCGATATTTTTTTAAAATGGACCAAAAATTACTTAAATTTTATAGGAGTTATTGAGATATGGTTAAATAATAAGAGTATTTTTCCTTAAAAAAGTATTTTCCTGGCCGGGCGGTGGTGGCGCACGCCTTTAATCCCAGCACTTGGGAGGCAGAGGCAGGCGGATTTCTGAGTTCGAGAGTTCGAGGCTAGCCTGGTCTACAGAGTGAGTTCCAGGACAGCCAGGGCTACTCAGAGAAACCCTGTCTCGAAAAACCAAAAAAAAAAAAAAAAAAAAAAAAAAAGTATTTTCCTAAGTTTACTGTCTCTTAATTTCATAAAATTTTTTAAAAATAAAATAGAATTTTAGATAGTAACTCATAAGACTTTCCTTTTTTACAATTTCACCGCTTTTATATTTTTAAAATTTCTCTCTACCCAGAAGGTTTTAAATATTTTCTTTTATAGAATAATTTTTATATAGTTAAAATCATCACTGGTTAATATCTAATATGTAAGGTAATATTAATAAAATTATCTCCTCTAAAAAGACAAATTTACAAAAGATGTTAACAGAGAATTCATAATTCATGTATAGTACAGTTCCGGAGTTTTATTCTAGTTAAAGGAAAATAATTATTTATAAAATAGAAAAAAGGGAAGCTGGGTGTGGTGGCATTCACCTTTAATCACAGCACTCAAGAGGCAAAGATTAGAAGATTTCTCCAAGTTGCAGGTCAGTCCAGGCTACATTATAAAATGCTGTCTCAAAGAAATAAAAAGATTGAGACTCACTTGCCTCTGCCTCCAGAGTACAGGGATAGGAGGTAAGGTGGGAAGTAGGTGAGGATTAAAGGCATGTGCCACCACACTCAGCCAAAGGGTCCTTTCTTTCTTACTTAGAAAGTGTTTGATGATATAAAGTATTTATTACATAATACATAATTAAAAAGAAGCAGAATTACATATGATATAATTCTAATATATAAAAATCAGGCAACAGATAAGGAATACACATCAAAATGATAAACTTTTTTTTTTTTTTTTTGGTTTTTCGAGACAGGGTTTCTCTGTGTAGCCCTGGCTGTCCTGGAACTCACTCTGTAGACCAGGCTGGCCTCGAACTCAGAAATCCACCTGCCTCTGCCTCCCAAGTGCTGGGATTAAAGGCATGTGCCACCACTGCCCAGCTAAAATGATAAACTTTTTAATTTTTATGCACTTAATTTTTTTCAGATGGGAGAATACATTATATTTCCCACTGCTATATATTCATTGTATGTGTTACTATATTACATAGGGTATTTTCATACATGTGCATGATGCAGTTTGAATATATTCCTCACATATTCCTCTACCTTCTCCTTCTCTTCTTTCTCTCTCACATTACTTCCCTTTGTTCCCACAGATCAGTTGTATCCAGCCTTCTCATACTGCGACGTGATGTTATCTACTGATGTTCACACTGAAGAATGATACAATTGAGTTTCAAAAAATTCAAAAAAGTTTATAATGTTCAAAGTAAGTTTGTAATTTTGTGCTAGGACACACATATCTGTATTTCGTTGCATGTGGTTTGTAGGCTGTTATGTTAGGCCTAGACCAGTAGTTCTCAAACTTCTTGATGCTACAACCCTTTAATATAGTTCCACTATATTGTGGTGACCCCCAATCATAAAATTATTTTCATTGCTACTTCATAAGTGTAATTTTGCTACTGTTATGAATGGTAATGTAAATATCTGATATGTAAGATACCTGATGCATGACTCTTATGAAAGGATCACTTTATCCCGCCCAAAGGGATCTCAATCTACAGGTTGAGAAGCACTAACCTAGACTATTTAACTTCTACTTTTGTCATATATATATATGTGTGCATGATGCAGTTTGAATATATTCCTCACATATTCCTCTACCATATATATATATATATATATATATATATATATATATATATATATATATCTTTTATAATTAGAAGCAAACTAAATATATAAAATTATTCAATTGTCCGTAACTTACCATAATGTTGTCTTCAACTTCTGCTCTTATATATGGCCCCAACAACCCCAGATGTTCATTTAGTTCTCCACGGTATAAGGGCTGACTAAAGGATCCATCAGTAAATTCCTGAAAAACTACTTTCTTGAACTGAGCTATATTGCCACTTTGATCTCTGGAGAAAAAGCAGAATAATATCAGTACTTTATGGACTCATGAGGAGGGATGTCCCACATTTCTGTTTTCCCTGTATTTGAGATACACTTAAGTAAAATTCATGATAAACAATAAATATAATGCTGCAGGAAGGAAAGAAAGAGAGATGAAAGATAATTTTCAGAGGCTAGCGATGTAGTTCAGTTAGTAGTGCTTGCCAACATGTAGGGATCTCTGGGTTCCATTTCTAGTGCAGCATAAACTAACCCTAACCCCAACCCTATTAACTCCAGCACTCAGAAGGCTGAAACAAGAGAAACACTACAAGCTTTAAGCCAGTATGGGGAACACAGAAAATTTGAGAATAGCCTCTAACACATATACAGCAAGGACTGCCAGGTCTGAACTCAGAGAAAATACACCTAACCCTCAAGAGATTGGAGGCCCCAGGGAGTGTGGAGGTCTGGTGTGGTGGGGTGTGGAGAGGATGGAGACATCCTCGTGGAGATGGGGGGATAAAATCTGGATTGTAAAAATAGATTAAATAAAATTTAGAAAAAGAAAAAGAAAGAAAGAAACCTGTTTCCGTATACTGAGAAAAAAAATTATTGATGAATGTTGAATAAATATAGACCTTAAGAACATACTTTAAATATAAGAGAGCCTGTTTTCTATTCCTTAGATCTCTCTTAAATTTTTAAAAATACCATTTAAAATTCTGAAATGAAATATACACGTCTTTCATTCAGAAATGCAGACATCTTCCAGAAAACTACATATCCCTTTCTACTCTGCTATCTCTCCACTAAAGGTAACCACTCTTCTGATGTTTATAATAATCTTATTTCTTTGCTTTTTTCTTTTTTGTGATTTTTATTGGACATTTTATTTACATTTCAGATGTTATCCCTTTACCCCATTTTCCCCCCACACAGGAACCCCCTATCCCATCCCCCCTCCTCCTGCTTCCATGAGGATGTGCCCCTTCCACCTCCCCACCCTCGAATTTCCCCACACTGGGGCATCCAGCCTTCACAGGACCAAGGATCTCCTCTCCCACCTATGCCCGACAAGCCCACCCTCCCCTACATACACAGCTGGAGCCATGAGTTCCTCTCTATGTACTTCCAGGCTGGTGGTTTAGATACTGGGAGCTGTGGTTGGTTGGTATTGTTGCTCTCCCCATGGGGCAGCAAACCCTTTCAGCTCCTTCAGTCTTCTAACTCTTCCATTGGGAACCTCTTGCTTCTAACCACACTCATAAAAAAATTAGTCCAGATTTGCTTTTTGTTTTAAGTATATAAGGGGCAATAGAGTATACATATCTTTAGTTTTTTCTTTCACTAAGCATCACAGTTGAGACATTCATCTATGCTGTAATTATAACTTATATATTCTCTGTTATTTGCTGTTGGATTGTACTCTATTAGATTAATATATTCCAATCGTATATGTATATGTGTGTGTGTGTGTGTGTGTGTATGAGTCACTACTACATTTGGGGACTTGGAAATAGTCCTGATTTGAATCTTCAGGTAAATGTCTTTAGGGAACAAATACATGTATTTGTTTTGGTCACATATGCAGGAATTGAATTGCTGAAAAGGAATATTTTAGGCATTGTAGATTCTGGTACACTGCTTACTAAATCAGCTGCTATATTTTCCATTTTTAACAACAATAAAATGTGGGAGTTCTATTTGCTCTAAATACTCACAAATACTTGACCACATTTTTATACTCTTGGCTATTCTGGTGGTTGCATAGTAGTGCTTCACTGTAATTTTATTTTACATTTCCATGATCGATAAAGTTGTATATTTTTCCACTTTATAGCTAATATCTTCATTATCTTTAGAACACTTTTTATGTACATCAAATTCATAATTTTATTGACGTTAGTTATTTTTAAAGATTTATTTTTATTTATGTGCATGTATGTCTCTGTGTGTATGCCACATGCATATCAGTGTCCACAGAGACCAGGAGAGGGTTTCAGAACTCCTGGAACTTGAATCACAGGCAGTTGTGAACTATCATATGAGTTCTGGGAACCAAATTTAGATCCTCTGCAAAAGCAGTAACTTCTAAATGTGGAGCCAACTCCCCAGCGCCAAGTTTATAATTTTAAAACAGTGAAATAGATTTTATATTAATTTTTCTTTTATCTTGAATTAATCATTTTTATTTCCCAACCCTGAGATTAATACATTCTGTTTTCCCTTAGATGCTTATAGCTTTATCTATTCATCTAATGTCTTTGCTTCAAGTGCTTACTAAGGCAGACTTTCTCCTTACTAATTCTGATGAAAGCATTTTCATGTACTATGATGTGAGAAGATAGCTCATTTGAGTCATTTTTACTGATATTACTTCATTCTGTAAACTTCCATTCAGATTGACTGTAGACTTATATTCATCTAGAAAGCCAAGTCTACTTTATTCTTAAGGCTATATAATAGTTCATTTGAATCAGCTAAAGGAAAAATGGAGACAGTAAAAAATTCAGCATGCAAATGGAGTGGGGAGAACTTAGTCCACCTTCATGAGTCATCACCAAGTCTCAGCTAATAGAGTAGGCTGTGATTTTATTGTTATTATATAGTGTTTTGTAACTCAATTTTATCCCTAGTCATTATTATCTTCCCATTTTATATTTTCATCTTGTGCTAATATTTAGTCCATTTCAAAAATCTGTTTTAAAACAACATAGTATAACCAACAAGATCCTCTGATGGATTAGATATGAATTTGGGAGGGGGAAGGAGAGATAAGCAATAACCTTAAGTTTGGGGTTGAAATAAATGGAATGAAGGAATGGCCATTAATAATAACATGATTAGGAGCTAGACAGATGGCTCAGCAGTTTAGAGAACTTGGTGCCTCTCCAGAGGACCCAAGCTGAAGTCTTAGAACCCACATGGTGGTTACCAATTATCTGTGGCTCTAGTTTCAAGGGATCTGACTTTTTTTGATCTCTGTGGGCATCAGACACATATATGGCACACACATGTACATGCAGAACAAATATTCATACACATAAAATAACCTAAAATATTTAAAAAATAATAACATGATTGATATGGATAACACCAATATAGTGGAGAGTGAGAAACTGACTGAATAAGAGAGAAAAAGAGGAACTTCTAGAGCAGCGGTTCTTAACCTGTTGGTAATGACCCTTTTGGGGGTTGAACATTAGATATCCTGCCTATCAGATGTTTATATTATGATTCATAACAGTAGGAAAATTACAGTTATAAAGTAGCAACACAATAATTTTATGGTTGAGGGTCACCACAATATGAATAACCGTATTAAAGGGTTGTAATATTAGGAAGGTTGAGAAACACTGGCTTAGAGAAACATTTTTATGAGGGGTAAAGGAATGAGATAAAGTGCAAAATTTGTGTGATGGGCTTTATATAGGAACACAGATGATCTATTTATTATCATTTTTTTGTGAGCCAGAATAACGAAGGGTATATATTCTTTCTCTAGGACCTGTATTGTGCATCAGCTGCCCAATTCTGCCACCTCAATTCCCTGCATACCTTGAACTTTTCACTATACTCTAGTAATACCTGTTTCTATACCTCAAAGTTCTAAATACGCCCTATTCTTAGAGCCTCTGTACTTTTCTCTCTTGTCTTTTGTCAGGGGCATCCCTGCTTATACACTGAAGGCCTAAAATCACCCATAGGCCTAAAAACAGCAATAGGCCTGACATACATGCCTGCTAACACAGTCTTGGGTCTCTGTGGAAAAACACTGAAACAGATGCCTAGAAGCTATTGCAAACAAGCAGATTTTGTGGAAAATTGCCAGCCTGAATAGTCATAGACCTTGTAGATAGATAACCTTGGTGGATAGAACCAACTTACATAAGGACAAGTGAATCATAGGAGTCGTCATAGTGATCTGTCCCCTGAACCTTCACCCAGCTGACATTCTGTTCTGGAAGATATCTGTATTCCCCCTGAACACCTACGCTCCTGCGTCATCCCCTTCCCTACATCCTGCCTTTTTGTGTATATAACCCCTGTGTGAAAAAGTAAAAATAGCATTTTGATCAGACTATAGAAGATCTCCATTCTTTGCATTCATCTGTTTTCCCCCATCTTCTCTTTTAGGTGACCTCCCCCGACCCCTATTTGATGCCTTGTGGGACAGGACAGTCTTTTCTGAGTTCTACCACTTTGCCTCATTATCATTTAGGTCTCAACTCCTCAAAAGGGATTTTTTTTTTTTTACTATCACAGCTGAAGTAACGTGTATCATTCTATATTATTTTCTGAATAGCATCCTTGAAATTATCTTATTTCTTTTTATATATGTGTCGATATGTATATCTGTTTGTGAAGATCAGGGATGAACCTTGGATGCCATTCCTCAGGAGCCATCCACCTTGTTTTTAAAGATAGGTGTCTCTTACTAAACCTGGAACTCACCAATTAGGCCAGGCTGGCTGGCCACTGACACCCCCTTCCCAGAAATATGTCTGCTTATTTCAGCCTTTCCAGCATTAGGATTATAAGTAAGTGCTACCATATTATTTTTTTAAAGATTTATTTATTATTTGTTTATAATATATACAACATCCTGTCTTTATGTATGCCTGCAGGTCAGAAGAGGGCACCAGATTTCATTATAGATGGTTATAAGCCATCATGTGGTTGTTGGAAATTGAACTCAGGACATCAGGAAAAGCAGCCAGTGCTCTTAACCTCTGAGCCATCTCTCCAGCCCTCACCACATTATTTTTTAAGATTCATTTTTTTTTTATTTTGAGAATTGTGTATGTGTGCATTGTGCACATGTATGTATGCATATAAGGATGTGTGTTCATGGAGGTCAAAAGAATGTAACAGATCTCTGAGAGCTAGAGTTATGGGTAATTATATGGGTACTGGAAACTGAACTTGGGTATACTGTATTCAAGTACCTGAAACAGAATCTATCACACAGTAGGTACTCCATTATATTTGTTGACTGATTCTTCTAATGCCTTTCTTCTAAATTTGCTTTCTCTAACCTAGTTCAATGTCCTTTGGCTCTCCTAAAATCAAACCACCCATTTTTCTTTTGGATTGCCAGTATTTTAGAAAACAGCCCTATCCACTGGGGTCCACCTGAGGCACAGCCAGCAGAGTTGAGCTGTGTGCTGTCTCTTGGCCTCTATCTTTTGGCCCATGGCTCTCCCTGCCTTCCTGAGGAGCCTTGTAGAAGTTCCAAGGAGCATCCAGGTTAAACCCCTCCCCAGACAACCTGATGCCTGAAAGGTCCACCTGGGGCATAGCCAGCAAATATTTAATCTGGGGCACAGCCAGCAGAGGTGAGGAATGTGGTGTTCCATGAGATCCGCTGTCAGGATCAAGGATCTGTCTGCCTCCCCAAGGAGTCCTGTTGACACCAGGAACATTCTTTCAACACCAGGAACAACCAGATGACTAAAGGACAGCATAAGAACACAATCAACAAGGGCCAGGGCAATATGGCATTACCGAGAACCCAGCTATCCTGCTACAGCAAGCCCTGGATATTCTAGCACAGCCTAATCACAAAAAGACGACACTAAAACACAATTTTATAAAGATGATAGAAGCCTTTAAAAAGGAAACGAATAAATTTCTTAAAGCAATACAGGAAAATACAATGAGGCAGGTAGAGGCCCTTAAAGAGGAAGCAAATAAATATAAAGAAATGAAAGAAAGTACAATCAAACAGGAAGGAGATAAATAAAACTGTTCAAGACCTGAAAATGGAAATAGAAGCAATAAAGAAAAGACAAACTGAGGTAATCTTGGAGATGGAAAACCTAGGAAAGAGAACAGGAACTACAGACACAAGCATCACCAATAGAACGCAAGGGATGGAAGACAGAATCTAAAGTGTGGAAAATATGTTAGAAAAATCAAAGAAATCAATCAAAGAAATCAATCAAAGAAAAACCTAAAGCTAAAATGTTTCTAACATAAAACATCTAGGAAATTTGGGACACTATTAAAAGACCAAACCTAAGAATAATAGGAATATAAGGAGAAGATGATTCCCAGCTCAAAGGCCCAGAAAGCATCTTCAACAAAATCACAGAAAAAAATTCTCTAACCTAAAGAAAGATACATACAAGAAGCTTACAGATACCAAATAGATTGGACCAGAAAAGAAAATCCTCCCACCACGTAATCATCAAAATTCTAAATATACAGAACAAAGAAAGAATTTTAAAAGCAGCAAGGGAAAAAAGTCAAGTAACATATAAAGACAGACCTGTGAGAATTACACCCAATTTCTCATCTGAGACTCTAAATGCTAGAAGGGCCTGGGCAGAGGTCTTGCAGACCCTAAGAGACCACTGATGTCATCTCAGACTATTATACCCAGCAAAACTGTCAATCACCATAGATGGAGTAAAACAAGATATTCTATGAAAAACCAAGTTCAAAAATTCCTCTCCACAGAAGATATTACAAGGAAAACTCCAACCCAATGAGGCTAACTATAAACAAGCGAATACAAGAAATAATTTCTCTTCGAAATACACCATCACCACCACCACCACCACCATCACCACCACCACCATCACCATCAAAATAACAGGAAGTAACAATCATTGCTCATTAATACCTCTCAACATCAATGAACTCAATTCCCCAGCAAAAAGACACAGGCCAACAGAATGGATTCATAAACAGAATCCATCATTCTGCTGTATACGAGAAGCATATCTCAGCAACAAAGATAGTCATTATCTCCGTATAAAGGGCTGGAAAATGGTTTTCCAAGCAAATGGACCCAAGAAACAAGCTGGGGTAGCCATTATAATCTGTAATAAAACAGACTTTCAACCAAAAGTAATCAGAATGACTAAAATCATAAACTCAAGTGATAGCACATTCTGGTGAGGATGTGGAGAAAGAGGAATAGTCCTCCATTGCTGGTGGGAGTGCACATTTGTATAACCTCTCTGGAAACCAATTTGGTGGTTTCTCAGAAGATTGGGAATAGTTATACCTTAAGACCCAGCTATACCACTCCTGGGCATATATCCAAAAGATGTTCCACCATCCCACAAGGACACTTGCTCAACTATGTTCACAGCAACTTTATTTTTAATAGTCAGAAACTGGAAACAATCCAGATATCCCCCAACTGAAGAATGGATACAGAAAATGTGCTTTATTTACACAATGGAATACTATTCAGCTATTAAAAATAAGAACATAATGAATTTTTCAGGCAAATGGATGGAATTAAAAAATATCATATGGAGTGAGGTAACCCGTACTCAAAGGACATGTATGCGATGCACTCACTTATAAGTGGATATTAGCTATAAAGCACAGACCCAAAGAAGCCAAATAACTAGGAGGGTACAACGGAGGAAGTTTGATTCTTTCTTAGAAGGGGAAACAAAATAAATATTGGAGATGGATACAAGGAGATCATATGTAGGGAGAGCAGGGGAGAGAGAAGGGAGATTGGTGAGAGGGAGCAACCTCTAGGATGTGCCAGAGACCTGGGATGGGGAGAGGCCTAAGAGGGTCTAAAGGGGTGACAGGCTGAGAGTCTTAGCAGTGGGGGATATGGATTCTAAAGTGGCCACTTCCTGTAGCCAGGTGGGACTCCCAGTGGAAGGAAAAGGACAGCAACCCATCCACAAAACCTTTGACCCAAAATGTGTCCTGCCTACAAGATGTGCAGGGACAAAGAGCAGAGACTGGTGGAATGGCCAACCAATGACTGGCCCAAATTGAAACACATTACATGGGTAAGAACCAATCCCTGACATTACTGATACTCTGTTATGCTTGCAGACAGGAACAAACCTTAACTGTCCTCTGAGAGGCTCTACCCAACAGCCAATGGAAACAGATGCAGAGACTCACACTCAAACATTAGATGGAGCTCAAGGAGTCTTACAGAGTTAGGTGAAAAACTGAGGGACCCAAAAAGAACAGGGACTCCACAGGAAGACCAACAGAATCAACTATCCTGGACATTGGGAGCTTCCAGAGACTGAATCACTAACTAATGAGTGACCATAGGCTGGGCCTAGGCCTTCTGCACATATGTAGCTGATGAAGAGTTTGGTCTTTATGTGGGTCCCCTAGACTGCTGGGGAAGGGCCTGTCCCTGAGTCTGTTGCCTGCCTGCCTGCTCGCCTGCCTGTGGATCCCATGTGCCTAAACGGACAGCCTTGTTTGGCTTTAGTAGGAGAGGATTTGCCTAGTCTCACAGTGACCTGATGTGTGAAAGTGGGGGTTGGGGTGGGGCAGATGGAGGTTTTAATACCCAGAAGAAGGCCTCACCTTCTCAACAGAGAAGGGAGGAGACATGGGGGAAGGAGTTGTGTGAGGGGATACTGGGAGTAGAGGAAGGGCTGATCTTGGGTTGTAAAGGGAATAAATAAAAAATGATAAAAACCAATACTACAAACCTATTTTTTAGAGCATGAGATGTACTCATCCCATAGTCCCAGAGCCGTTCCACAGCTGCAATAAAATAGTGCCTTGTTTTCTGTTGAAAGCTGCGAGGATCCTGCTTTATATCATCACCATAAATGTCAAAATCCTCATTTGTTTCAACGGTGATGGCATCATCATAGTCAGTTGTTTCCTGTTCTGATTGAAAAGCACTAAGCTCCCTTTGATGTCGTTTCAAGACTGGCAGGTTTTGAGAGCATGTCCTTTGAGTCTGACCTTGCTTTACCCAAGTGGCTTCTCTTTGGGGCCAAATTTGCTTATTTGCCCCTATTGAATGATTGCTTCCATACGGCCTCAGAGACAAAATGGTGTCCTCTTGCTTAACAGATACAATTTCTGGTGACTTCTCTTTGGATTTCCATTTATCTTTTGGTATCTGTGCAGCATAATGATAATCCCAAGCATGATGATATAGCAGTTTAGAGTGACTCTTTTTAGAGCTCTCTGTTTTGCCTTTTATACTTTTCCCATGCCTCTTTGCTTTATTCCATTTAGTAGGCTCCCATGTTTTCTGAACAAAGACCTCTTTCATGAGATTCAAGTGTCCGGGAGATTCATGGCTAGTTTCTGTAGGTAAAAGTTCTTCCTTTTGAATGGAAACTTGATGAAGCAATTCAACTTTGCCAGCTTCTTCAGGCAAGATTGGTTTTAAGAAAATAATGTTCTCAAGTTTCTTATATGTATCTGAGTTTGTGTTACTTTTCCCTGGGGAGGAAAATTTTGCTTGATCTATGAATATCTTACATGGTAGAATGGCTAAAGAAGGGTTATTCCTTTTGGTTTCTTTTAATAAATGATTGCTTTCTTGAATTCTAGAACTTTTTGTCTTATAGTCAAAAATGTAGGATGATGCTTGAACATGAGAAAAATTGTCTTGGAATGGAATCCTTTTGAGATCTGTTGGTGAAAATGCTGATGTTTTTACAACATGTGAGTCATAACTATTTGTCTGAGTGGTGCTTTTAATTATAGAAGAATCTGATAAGGGAGGTTGAATAATGAACTTTTTCCTTTCCTTGCTGTGGTCTATCTGTTTAATGATACTCTGTGTCGAATAGTTTATGGTTTGAAGCCACTGAGTTGACAGTCTGAATTGTCCCAAAGCCCGTTTACTACGTTGAGTAATAATATCCTTCTGGCTTGGATAGTTTTTTACCATTTCTCTGGTTTTATTTATCAAGCCTTCTAAATTTGTTTCCTTATCCTTCCTTCTTTTAACTAAATGTACCATGTGAATCTGTACTGTATTTGTTGAGTTGTTTATTGATGTGCTGTTTTGAAGTATTGGTACATATGTCTCTTCATGTAAACTTATATTTTGCCTAGTGCCTAGTAAAAACATGTCTTTCAAGAAATTCTTAGTACCAGTTGCTATGTGCACCTGGGGCAAAACTACTTTCTCTTCAATTGGTGCTTCCTTTTCTATCTCTTCCTGAATATTTTTTTCTTGATTGTGCCTACCATTTTTGTGTATCTTAGCCAAACTGGTAAGAAATATGCTCATATTACTTGGAAAAACCATCTCTTTAAGTCCTATGTTCTTTGTAAATCCATCTTGTTCTACTATCACTTTATTTTTCTCTGACAAGAAAGTTTGATTTTTCACATACTTTTTAAACATTAAATATACTAATTGCTTTGGACTACGTTCTTGCTCAGAGTTCAAGGAGTTACTTCCATTGGTCTTTTTTAACAAATTTGCATATTCTGACAATAACAGCATCTTGGAAAATGGCATGATTGTATTTTCTGCACCTTGTGGAACAGAATCTTCATCTTTTTTATGAAAAATGTCTTTATTTTTTGCTGAGGTAGATGTATTTCGCATATGGTTTAGTCTCAGATATGTAGTATTTTTGCCTAAAAGTGTTCCATCATGAATCAAAGATGTTAGTTCTTGAATCTCATCATTGATTTTTAATACGGCATCTTGCAAGTCTGCTGTACTATTCTCAATTGATGTTCGGATGTCAGTGTGTGGTTTTTCATTAGTTGTTGAATGATTGCATGTCTTGTTTGTTTTCATTAGGGAGACATTGTCTTTAAATAAAGTATTATCTTTGGCCAATAAAGCAATTCCATGAAACCTCTTCTCTTTGAGTAATTTATCATTCTCCACTGATAATATATTATCTCCTGGTGAACTTTGACTATACATTAAAGTTGAATCCAACAAGTTGGAATAACTATTTTCTTCACTAATCCTTAAAGGTACATGAGACCCAACAAGGGGATACGCTTTTTTACCAAATGCAGTAGTTCTTAATTTAGCACTAAAGTGAATTGGCATATCTGGAAATTCTGAAGAACCTGTCTTTTCAAAATTTTCTGTCAAATTGTCTGACAGAATTGTTGTGGTCATTAGATTACTTGGCAAACCAGAAACTTGCAAATCAAGTTTCTTCCACTTTACTTCTCTAGTTATCTCCAAACTTTTATTTGATCTTAACTGGAGGCCTGGCTGAGGAGTAAATACAATTTTCTCACTGTGGTGGGATTCTGGCCTGATTTGGGCCACTTTAAATGGGCCTACATTTCTGTCTATTGCATCAGGTGAATCATCATCATGAACAGCCTCATAATAGGCTTCTTGGCCATCTGATAAAAGTAAGCCATGTGGAGTAGGATGACTCTGTCCCAAGAGCATCAAAATGTCACTAGATGAGACACTTTGTACTTTAAGCATTTCTGCTATTTCTCCAAATGGAGGCTCAATCTTCTCCATATCATTTTTTGGAATTATGATGTCTTTGAATTTCTTTTTCCTAGTATTAGGAAGATTTGAATTCTGGAAGAAGCTTCTGGGATCAATGACATTGTTGTCATTCACCAACTGTGTTGGAATATCTTCATATATTTCTTCATAATAATCACTAGTACTCTTGTCACAACTAGAAACTTTCAGCAATGCTGTCATACCTCTCTTCCGAAAGTCTGAATTATGACACCCCAAGACCCATAGACCTGAAAATGAGAAAGAATAAAACTCTGATTACTCATAATCTACATTTTAAGTAAGTTGTATATTGAAGGTTCTCTCCTACTTCTAGATAAATGAAGAAACGGTAGTCAAGCCTGTTATGTCATAAGTTATTTGGTTAACATCTTAACGTATATTCACCAATGTTGCTGCTACTGTGCTATGCATGTTGCTGATCACAAGAAAGGAAGATTGGAGCCACTGAAGAGAGCTCAGTGGGTAAATTTGCCTAATGACCTCAATGCAATCCTTAGAATCCACATAGTAGAAGGAAATGAGTCTTGCAGTTGTCCTTTAACCTTTACACTTGCGCATATGAGCCCACATACCTCTACACTTGCGCATATGAGCCCACATACATACATACACATGGTAAAGTAATGAACATAATAAAAACATTTAGAATGTTCAATGATGTAACATTTATGTATTTACTTCTAATGTGGATATTCTCAAAGAAGGTGTTACAGAACTTTTACCAATAAAATAAAATAAATGAAATGAAATGAAATAAAATAGTGGAGTGCTGATTAGTTATGGAAACTATGAACAAGGTTTTAATCCTGAGACAGAGAAAAGTACCAAACTGATAATTCAACACAAGGCTAGAAAGAACCAGCTGAGAGTTAAGAACATTCAGACTACAATAACAATATGCTTACACTGTAGAATGTGAGTTTGTGTGCATGTGCATGCCATTCTGTATGTTTTTAGGTCAGAAGACAACCTTGGATGTCAATATATGCCTTGCCTCCCATCTTGTTTGAGATAGAGTCTTTCTGTTTGCCTTTTCATATGCCAGGATAGATGGTCTGCAACCTTCTGAAGATTCTCCTGTCTTGGATTCCCACCTTCCTGTAGGAGCTCTAGGATTATTGACATATACTCCTATGCCTGGCTTTTTCCATGGGTTCTGTCTGGTAATCTATGTGACAAGTACTTTACTAGTTGATCTATTTCCCTGGTCAAAAACATCTAATTTTTGTTTGGTTGTTTTGTTCATTTTTATTGTTGTTGTTGTTTTGTTTTTGAGACAGGGATTCTGCCTTAGGGTTTCCAATACTGTGAAGAGACACTATGACCAAGGCAACTCTTAAAAAGGACAACATTCAATTGGGGGTAGCTTACAGGTTCAAAAGTTTAGTCCATTATCATCATAGCAGGAAGCATTGCAGTGTCCAGGCAGGCATAGTGCTGGACGATCTGAGAGTTATAAATCTTGATCGAAAGGCAAACAGGAAAAGACTGTTTCCCAGGCAGCTAAGAAGAGAGTCTCAAAGCCCACCCCTACAGTGACACACTTCCTTCAACAAGGCCATACCTCCTAATAACGCCACTCCTTGGCTCAAGCATATTCACACCATCATCTTCTACTTCCTAGCCCCTGAAGTGGAAACTTAAGAGTTCTTTGGAAAGACAGTTGTGTTAGAAGGTGTTTTGCTGGGGCAAACACATGAAGGAAGGTTTTTTGAAGAAAGACTAAGGCAGACTCGTGAAGGAACGTTTCACTGAAGCAGGCACAGGAGGAAGTATGTTCTGCTAAAGCAAGCATGTAAAAGGACACATGATGAAGAATTCTTTGCTAACAACACAAATGTATTGGTCCACCTTACATGCATAGTTGAACTCCATTTGTTTGGACTCCATAGACAGAAATGTACCAAAAATTTCTGGTGGTGTTCTGCAGTTTCTTGCAGCTTCTTTGGACTCAGGCTGATTGCCAGAGTGATGTCAGCTGAGATAGATGCACATGCTGAGGCAAGACACATGTTGAGGTAAGACACGAGGAGGACACTGATGTTTGGAGGGTATAAAGAGGACTAGCTAGACTGTGACAGAAGCTGAGCTAGGCTTGCTTATGGAGCTAGCTGTGCAACTATTGTGGGTCTTGTGTCTTCACTGATCTTTGCTGATCTTCGCTTATCTTCGCTGATCTTCCCTGAGAGAGGTATAGCTGAGTACTCCTGGTGTTCCTCCGAGTCCCTTTTGCTGACTTGTGTCAAGGCTGAGGCCTGGCTGTCTGTGTTAGGTTGTGCCTGCTGCTGATTCATGTTTGCTATCCTGACTCTAACGAACTAGACTGCTGGTGTATCTGTGAAGTGTTTGTAAGTAGACTGAGTTGCTGCTGCTAATCCATAAACTGAACTTCTGATTTCCACACAACACAGATGGGAGTTGCTCCAAAGAACATTTCTAAACAAGTCTACTTCTCCTGTATCCTTTCTTTGTCACTACCTCTAGTGGGTGGTGGGCTAAAAGGGAGGTTAAAGTATTTAAGAACTATCATTAAAAATAACGGTTTGAAAAAATTAAAGTTACAGGCCCCCATAACCTTCTTCAAACACATGACTCTATACTTAGCCATAGCATAATGCAAAAAAACATTTAGTCCAACTTCAAAAGTCCCCATAGTCTACCACAGTCTAAACAACGTTTAAAAGTACGAAGTTCAAATTCTCTTCTGAGATTCATGCAATCACTTAACTGTAATCCTCTATATAATCAAAATCAAAAGGTAGATCACATGCTTCCAACATCATAGGACATACATTACCATGAGAAAATGTCATACTGTGGAAATACTAGACCAAAGCAAGACCAAAAACCATCTGGGAAAACTCCAAACCCTGCATTTCCATGTCTGATGTCCAACTCCTTTCAGCTTTGTTGACTGCAACACAATTCATACCCTTGGGCTGGTTCCAATACCTGTTAGCAGATTTCCTCAGCAGGTATCCCATGGCTCTGGCATCTCAAACATCTTGGGTCTCCAAGGCATCTTCAACTTTTTACAGCTTCTTGTTTCAATGTCTAGGACCCACACATGATCTTCCAGGATCCTCCAAAGGGCTTGGGTCACTTTTACAGCTCTGCCTCATGTAGCACTCCAGGGTCTGGTTGATTGCTGTTAATAGTTTTGGTGGTCATCCCATGGTACGGGCATCTCCAATATGCTGGGGTATTCTGCTGCACCTGGGCCTCACCAATAGCCTCATAGGCTCTCTTCATAGTGTCAAGCCTCAAATTCTTTACATGACCCCTTCAGTTCTAGGTTGTGAACTGCAATTAAGGCTGCAACTTTTATCAATGGCCTTCCATGGCATCTCACCAAGCCTCAGCTGCTCTCTCTGACCCCATCATGCCTTGCAAAACCAGTACCACCTGGGTGACTCTTACACATTACCAAGTCCAGATGCAGCACAAGTTACAACCTTGGCTATCTCTAGAACACAGCTTCTTTGTTCTCTTAGAAAACACTTCCCAGAAGATTTTACCTCATTGATGCTTGTCTCTTCTTAATCATTGCTAATGTCTAAGCTCCAGATAAGCATCATCAACTGTCACAGCAGTCGCTTCTATTTTTGACTCTAAAGCCAGAGCCACACGGTTGAAGCTGCTGAATTCTGCTACTTCCTGGGGCTGGAATATGGCCCCTCCCCCTTGTTCTATTTACATCATCACCAGCTTTCTGTTTTCCAACTCCTTCATGGCCTAAGCTTGGCTGTTCTGGAACTGGCTCTATAGATTGACCTTGAATTCAGAGATCTGAATGGCTCTGTCTCCTCAATGATGAGATTAAAGGTATGCATCACCACACCGAGACTTATGCTTTTCTCTGCTTGGACCTTGCTCTGTACCAGGCTGGACTTAAACTCAGAGATCTGTTTGTCTCTTTCTCTCTTGTGAATAAAGGTGTGAACTTCCATGCCTGGATCAAGCTTTTCATATCAACTATTCCTCAAAATCTGGATCAAAAGCCTGTGTCCTCCATCTCTAGATTATACTTCATTCTAGATTAAAAGTACAAATGAAAACAATAACCAACCAGTAATAATGTCTAACATGATATAACTATTTCTTGTTAAATGGCAAACACATAAACAATAAGCTTAGCTGGGTGGGATCTTGCCCCAAAGTCACAAGTCCCTTAATCTATTCATCTCCCTGAACACAGGATTAGGTCCATTGTACTTCCTGGTACGCTCTTGAATTGTGCATTTTGTATTTTTTCCTTCTAAGCTTGTTGCACATGATCAAAATGATATTCATGAAAGTAAACCACACACAGAGTTTAAACTTAGTTGATTTTTACTTTCTTCAATGCAATTAATCTGGTGAATCTCTTCAACTTAGCCTCAGGAAGACTCTTCAGACAAGGGCAAAAAGCAGCTACAATAGTCACCAAAATATCACAAGAAAAGTCTCTAGGTCACATACTAAAATTTTTCTTCTCTGAAGCATCTAGATCCAGGACTGCATAGTTCAAATCACCCTCAGCACCACTATCTTCCATATTCCTATTAATTAGGATGGCCATTAATTCCCACTGAAAACATTTCATTGTTTTCCAAATCCAAAATCCAAATCCACATTTCTCCAAATAAAAACATAGTCAGGCCTATCACTGCAATATTGCAAACCCTGGTATCAACTTCTGTTTTGATTAGGGTTTCCACTGCTGAGAAGACACAGCATGACCAAGGCAACTCTTATAAAGGACAATGTTTAATTGGGGCTAGCTTACAGGTTCAGAGGTTCAGTCTATTATCATCAAGGCAGTAAGCATGGCAGTGTCCAGGCAGACATGGTGCAGGAGGAGCTGAGAGTTCTACATCTTGATCTGAAGATGAGGAGAGGACTGTCTTCCAGGCAGCTAGGAGGATTTAAAAGCCCAAGTGCCCAGTGACACACAACAAAGCCACACCTAATCCAACAAGGCCATACCTCCTAATAGTGCCCCTCCCTAGGCCAAGCATATTCAAATCATCAAAGTTTCTCCCTGTATCCTGGCTGTCCTGGAACTCACTCTGTAGACCAGGTTGATCTGTAACTCACAGAGATCTGCCTGCTTCTGCCTCTTGCATGCTAGGATTAAAGGCATTCACCATCACTGCCAGGCCAAAGTATCTATTTTTTATGCTATTGGATTAAGATGTATGAGCTAATTATAATGTTTTTTCATTTATATTTAGTCACATTTATAATGAAGAAAGTTGTATTACAAAAGTTCAGGCAATGTTGTTTAACTAAGTACAAATGTCTCTTCTTTTTTTTCCCAGTTCTCTCATTTTGAGACTGGGCCTGTATAACCCTTGGCTGAAACTTGCTGTGTAGACCAGGCTGGCCTCAAATTCAGAAATCTGCCTTCTCAATACTGGATTAAAGGAAGGCATTGACACATTCCACATTCAACCAAAGTGCTTCTGGATTAGTATTCTAAATTAATGTAAAAAACTATAGAGCTGTAATCTCAAAGAGTTGGAATATAGAGACAAGCAGTTCTCTAGAGTTCATTGACCAAATGAATTCAAGGTTCAATGAGAGAATTTGTCTCAAAAAAACAAGGTGGAATTGAGAAGGATCACCTTCTCAGTCCTCGAATACTTTTTCTTTGACTAAAAGAATTCTTCTAAGAGTGGTTTTATAACTATGGCCTGGAAATGAGCTTTGTAAACCAGGGGCAAAAAAGAGAATATTATATGAAACGTGAATAAATTTTAGAAGTTAACCAAATTGGAAAACTAGGAGAGAAAACAGTAACTAATAAAACAAGTAAGAACAATGTCATGACTTGAATATGCTTGGCTCAGGGAGTGACACTATTAGGAGGTATGGCCTTGTTGGATTAGGTGTGGCTTTGTTGGAGGAAGTGTGTCACTGTGCATTTGGACTTTTACACCCTCCTCCCAGCTGCCTGGAAGACAGTCCTCTCCTCTTTGCCTCCAGATCAAGATGTAGAACTCTCAGCTCCTCCTGCACCATGCCTGTCTGGACACTGCTATGCTTACTGCCTTGATGATAATGAACTGAACCTCTGAACCTATAAGCCAGCCCCAATTAAATGTTATTTTTAAGAGTTGCTTTGGTCATGGGATCTCTTCACAGTAGTAAAATCCTAATTAAGAAAAACAATATATTATATGTGTGTGTGTGTGTGTGTATGTGTATATATATGCATGCATATATATATATATATATATGTACACACACACACATACAATTATATACATATATAACTATATAGAAGGAGAAGAAAGAATCAGATAAAGTACTTAAAGAGCTTGACAAGTATTTCTCATAATTAATGTCACATCAAATTATATAATGAGGTAAGAAATCATCACACAAAATAAACTAAGTCCCTCTGTATGTGTGTACATGTGTACAAGTGTGTATGGCCATCTTTGTCTGTCTGTCTGTCTAAGCATAGAAACATAATATCCAAACTTCTTAAATCAGAATAATGAAACAACACTTGATGGTGTCCAGATTAAGGGAAGCCAGCAAAGATGGTGTCAGTAAATGAACAGAACCAAAGATTGTTTCTTGGAAGAGTGAAGAAAACAGTATTTCAGTAGGAAAGTAACCAACTTCATGGTTGGTGATGAAAAATCTACTAATTCAAGGTTTAGAAATTATTGGTAAAATAGATACTGGTATCATTTAACAAACAGATTTAAAATTTTGACTCATGCCAAATAAGTTTTATTTGTTTTTATAGTAAAGGCTAGTTTGAGGCTTTTATTTGTATTTCAATGTTGAGAGTTGAATCCAGGAATTTATGTGTGCTAGGCAAGCACTGTAGTAGTGAACTACGATATTGAGTCGGTACTGTTATTTTTATATTACCACTGTCTAGAGTGTCTGGCATATAGAAGATCCTTAATAAATATTTTAAAAGACTAAATGAAATACATACATTTGAAAGTATTATATTATACATAGGGATTATATACAAAGTTACATATGGCAGCATTATTTACAAACCTACTAATAAAACTTAGAAGAAATATCTTATATGTTTATGTGTTTTGTCTTTATTGTCTGTATCACAATCAAGTTGTAAGCTCTTTGTTCTTCATTAAAATACTTTACAATTACCAAAGCCACATATCAAAGTCACTTGATATATTTACTGTCTGCATAAATATGAGGGAGCAGGCAAAAGAGCAATCAATGAAACAATCACAGTTGTTAGTGAAAGGGTAATATACATAACTAACCTGGGTTTTCCATTGACATAAAGACAGTTTCTCCCGAGAATGGGAACAGGGTAAGTGTATCTTCGTAGACCATTTTGTGTTTGAAAGTATATCCAGAGAAGAAGATAGATAAGAAGTCTGTCTGTGCTCCAACACTGAGAATGTACCAGTAGGCTACCTCATGCAAACAAACTGTCAACTCCAAGCTATCAAAAACATAGCCATTGATGCCTACAAAAGCAATTGAGAATAAGAGGTTTTGTTGTATCCTGGATTTGTTATTTTGAATTTGATTGTTAGGGTACAATTAGAAATTATCATATACTATGTCTATTACCTTACCACAGAGAACAGTTAGCAATCAGGTAGACTATTAATATTTAATCACTCAACTCCAATCCCAAAGCGTGGAGAGTCATATAGCATTTTGTAAGAAGAGATTTGGATGTATATTGTGGGGGAGTTTGATGAGGAACAAGGTACTTGTAAGATCTTGAAAGATTTTACTAAAAATTGTTATTTACAATGGAAAAAAAGAGTATATAGATAAACCCAAAACAAATGGTCAATGTTATCATACTATAATGCTCCAGATACAAGGAATCAAAATACTAAACACTTGCACAAAATTTCTGTACTATATGGAGAAAATACAGTGGCAGACACAACTAGAATATAGATGCCATTACCAAAATGAATTGTATCAATGAAAAGTGTCCGGAATTACATGACAATGGTTCTCTAAAAGAACACTTATCTTTATTCAAAGGGAATATATGATGAGTTATTAAAAACAAAGTGGCATGATGTTTCCCACCTATTTTCAAGTGGAAAATAATGTGTAAGAGTAGAAAACCAACTTTATAGAATTGTCCTCTGACCTCTACAAATATACTGTGGAATCATTATGACAGCAAACATTCATTCTCTTCTCTCCTCTCTTCCCCTCTCTCTCCCTTCCCCCTCTCTCCCCCTCTATCTTTCTTTCCTTCCTTTTATATACACATACACACAAAATAAATTTTGAAATATATCACTGTTACAGATTTTTAAAAATTATGTGTATGTGTATTGGGGCAGGGGTGTGATGTATACATAAGTGCAGTTGCCTAAAAATGTCAGATCCATTGGAGCAGGATCTGACTGCATTATAGGCAGTTGTGAGTTGCCCAATGTGGAGGCTAGGACTCAGACTTGGGTCCTCTGAAAGAAAAGTATACTATTGTAACTACTGAGCAATTGTTTTTATTAGCTTTAATTGTTAACCTAACAGTCTATAGTCATCCAAGAGAAACCTCAATTGAGGAACTGCCTAAATCAGGTTGGTTTGTGGGTGTGATAGCTATTATTGGTTGTCAACTTGACTACATATGGAATTAACTAAAACTCAAGAGGCTGGATACACCTGTGAGGGACTTTTTCCTAAATAAATGATTTGAGTAGAAAGACACACTTTTGCTTTTGGATCGGGGATTGTGTAAGGGCAAGATGTAGCTATGAGTGTCTCCTAGTTTATCGCAAATCTACCAGGATTCACTACGAGAGGATTTAGATTTAATATGGCTCACAAGATTAGCATTCTAGTTGTTGCACCCAGAGGCTGAGTTACCATTGTTTTTGAATAAAGTTTGTGTGGCTAGTTTCTTCTTGAGGCAACTCGACTGAGTTCAAGACAGAAAGGTATGGTGGGAAAGCATGGGTTGTGATGTGCACCACAAAGGCTGTGAGGGTGTTGAAGCATGGGGCTCGTGTGGTGGTGACCCACCAGGGGGAACTTAGCGACCTGGGTGGAGAGATTTTGGAGCTCTGGTGCCATGTGGCCCACCGGCGTTGGGCATAGCACGGGAACTGCCATTCCTTTTTAATACTTCCTGCAACAGGTGGCGAAATAATGTGTTGGGCAAGAATCCACTAGAAAGTTAAAATTATTAGTCTGAGAGTTAGAGTTTTATTTTTTTTAGTGAGTAGCTGGGTAGCACTAAAATGAGTCATGTGGAGTCAAGCATGGGAATTTTGAAACAAAGACAAGAGAAGGAGAATGAAGTTGCCTACTTCTTTCAGCAGAGATTAATTGAACTGTGAATTTATAAAAATGGGATTGTTTGCTTTTAGGAAAGAGATTATGATTCCAGCCAAATCACGTGGGGAATTTTGCCTGCAGTTCGGAACTATAGGGAAAATTAGTCACTGACTCCAAGTAGAATGGAGTGATAATCATTGTCTGCTATGTACAGGTATTAAATAAATGTCTGTGGCTCTAGGCAGAGAGTTGAACAGATAGATAGTTTAACAATATGGCTGCTCTAGGCAGAGAGCCAAACAGTAAGTTGGTATGAAGATAGTTTACTTTAATACATCTTACAGGCTATTCAAATTCTGTCTAACGTGGGCTCCATGGGAATTCTGGATTTAAATCCTGCATTGACTAGCTGACTGCTTATAAGCAGTATCGATAGAAATGTGAATCAATTGTTTTAAAGATGGTATAAAGATATATTGTTTTAATATGCCTCACAGGATACTCAAATTCTGTCTAATGTGGGATCCATAGGAATCTTGGGTTATATTCCTGCTTGGATAAATAGATAAAGGCCTAAGAATAGGAACAGATAGTATTTTAGTTTACATCATTTGTTTTGAATTGTTTTAATTTTCTTTCTTTCTTTCTTTCTTTCTTTTTTTTTCGAGACAGGGTTTCTCTGTGTAGCTCTGGCTGTCTTGGAACTCACTCAGTAGACCAGGCTGGTCTCGAACTCAGAAATTAGCCTGCCTCATTTTAATTTTCAAAATGGTTGTGATTTTGAGTTTTGTGGTTATAGTATTCCTCTGGGAGAGAGGTCAAAATAAAGGGTTTTCTGATTACTGGCTCAAGGATATTCTAATTTGGGGAAAAGGTTTTGTCTTTGCGTTTTTAGAAAAGGTGATTAGTGTATATACACCTTCCAGAGTTATATGGATCATATATGGCAAAGAAAGACCACCATAGGACTAGATTCCAGAGAATCAAACAAAAAAAGTTATCTTGATGATACTAAGATTTTGTTTTGAGATTTGTATATTATAGAATATACAGCCTTGGTGAGTCTCCTCGTCAGACATGCTGAACTGACCTGTTTGAACTCCCGATGTCTTGGACTGTCAGCTGGATCCAGTCAAGACACAGAGATCAGAGACTAAATCAATTGTTGGTGTGGCCTTCTTAAGGCCAACCAACTCCTCTATTTTCTCTTCCCCTTTCTCACCCCTTCAAAATATCTCAACACCCACATTCAGCTTGAAGAAGTTATGAAGAGTTGCTGTCCCGACTCCCTGGGCTTTGGGGCTGGAGGGTGTTATTATAGGTTGTCTTTCTAGGGAATGGAGAAATGGTCATAATTGGAACAGGGAGGAAATAGATAGAATCATGGTATAGCCATAATCTCTATTGGTATAAATCTTTATAATTGTTACTAAGTTGAAGTCATAATTTCTTAAATGGTACAGAATTTATTTTGATGTAAAATCAAGGGTTTCATTGGTAAAAATCTCTTCTATTGATATAAAAAATTTAAAAGTACAGGGCTAAGACCCAGTCCTTCTATAACTGTTATTATAAATTGGATCTGAGATGATTAACCCTGTGAGTTAAGGGCCAAATAGCAAACTCTTGGTTCTGAGTTTATTGTTGGGGTGTTTCCAAGATTTTAATTAAAAATAACTGAGAGTAGTTAATGGAGAACAGTCCAGATTACTTTAGATAGTTGGTTTTCAAAAAATGTCAGAAATCCACAGAATGTGACATTTAATGTTATTTATTCACTTGTAGAGACAAGTCTGCTCCTGACAGCTTCCCTTTCTTGGACTCCGAGAAGAAATTGAGCATCAGTGGAGTTGCTACAGTTGTGGCGAGACAGCCACTAGGAAAGAATTGCCTCATTTCATCTACAGACAAAATACTGTCCAGAAAAAGGACACAATTTACAGATTAGGACAGGTTAGTTCTGCTGAGACAGAACAGGCTCGACCTTAATAATTCCTGTATCTCAAAGGTCTGTCAGATGATCCTGGGCCAGAAGTCTGAAGACTAATGCTCCAAGTTCCTGACTTACTGGGGTTTTATAGGTAGGGAGCTGTCTCTACAATTTATCTCAATTCTGGAAGCTATGTTAGGCTTCTGATATCTTCAGATATGTTGGTCATTCTCAGATTTCTGACAGGGTTGAACTACTACTTATAGTCTCATAGCCAACCCAAGCTATTTACTTTGAGAGAACAGATTTGAGAGGATGGCTTTCAGATGGCATAGAATCTAAAGCCAGGACATAAGTCAGGTGCAGATTTATGGTCTTTTAAGTTAGGATAGAGGACAGTGTTCTATTTTATTGACAAAAAAGTTGGACTGGTTGTTAGGTCTATCTTATATTTTATAAATTACAAAATGGTAATACTTATACTCAATTTATAACTGAGATAAAAGAGTCTTTTAAGTGAACAGAAAGGGGAAAGTGTTGTGGGTGGGCCTGGTGCTGTTTATATTTTAATGCTACTTCTGCTCTCCTGGGAGGGGCTGTGAACAAGGAGTGAGTCATGTACTTAGGGGACTTCTTGTGAACCAATCCCCTAATGAATAAAGGAGCCAATCACTGGGTAAGTAGGAGGGAATTCCAGGTTGGACAGAAGGAGAGAGGAAGCAGGAAAGAGTTAGGGCCTTTTGGATTGGGGATATCGTAAGGGCAAGATGTAGCTACTAGTGTCTCTGGGCTTATGATGAATCCACTAGGATTTGCCACTGGAGGATTTCGATTTACTATGATTTACAAGATTAGCATACTAGTTGTTGCACCCAGAGATTGAGTTACAATTGTTTCTGGAAAAAAAAAGACCCACTTTTAGTCCAGATCTTCTGAGGTGGGAAGATAAACTTTTAATCTAGCTCTTTTTACCTTTAATCTGGGCCACATCTTCTGCTGGAAGCCTACATAAGGGATATGCAAAAAAGAAGTCTCCTTGGCAAGTCCATTCTGTCACTGGCATTAGAGCCTACTTTTTTGAGATTATGGTGTATACTGAAGACCAACTGAGACATCTAGCCTTATGGTACTAAACAGGCACTGGATCCTTGGCCTTTCCCTTGATAAACAGCCATTGTTGGACTAGGTGGACCACAATCTGTAAGTCATTCTAATGAATCTTCTTTATAAATAATCATTTGGTATGTTCTGTTCCTTTAGAGAACCCTAACTAAAACAGTGGACATGTCTGTGAGGGATTGTTTTGATTATTAATTGATGTTGGAGAGCCCATTCCACTGTAGGCAGTATGATTCCTCAGGAAGGTAGTTCTAGGATGTATAAAAAACTAGGTAAGCATGAGCCAGAAAGTGAGCCAATGAAATATTTCACTCAGAATTTGGTAACCACTACTTTACTTTCTGTTTTTATGTATTGTGATGGCTATTCTTGGTTGTCAACTTAACTATAGCTGGAACTAAAATCCCAAAATACATGACATACCTGTAAGGGACTTTTGCTTACTTTTAAGTAGGTCGATCTACTTCTAATCTGAATCTTTGAGTTAGGAAGACACATGTCAAAAGATCCAGATCTTTCAAGATAGGCAAAGACATACTTTTAAATCAGATCTTGAGGCTGGAAAACATAATCTGGGCCACACTTTCCACTGGAAAATTATGTAAAGATATGGAAGAAGGAAGGTTTGCTCTTTGTCTGCTTTTCCTTGCCTTGCTAACACATCTATTCCTTCATTGGTATTAAAACCAACTTCTTCAGGATTCCACCATGTACTGAAGACCAGCTGAAACATCCCAACCTTGTTGACTGAGAAACTAATAGATTACTGGACTTTCTGTTCACAGCCCACCATTGTGGGATTAGCTAGACTGCAGCCTGTAAGTCATTGTAATAAATCTACTTTATCTATATCTATATTGATATATATTAATATCAATATATATGTAGATTTATTCTTTAAGTTCTGTTACTCTAGTGAACATGTGTTTCACTTTTTTAAGATTCCATGTAATGATCTCTCTTTTGTTTTAAAAATTGTCTCTATTAAAATAATGTACTTTCATTGTCCAGACAGGTGCTTACCCTAGTATTTAAAAGAGGCTGTAGTAGGAAATGGAGAAATTATGGATAGAATAATAAAATCATAGATATCTAGTTTATATTACACTAAGGAAATAATAAAGTGCAATATTCTGGTAGGTGGGAAAAAATCAACAACAAAATCCTGATCAAAAGCTAATAAAGGAGAAAAGGAAAAAAATCATATGTGCCATCTGTATTAAATACTACAAATCAGACTCTTGGCAAAATAAGCCATGTCTTTGAGTATATGAAAATATGTAAATTCAACTGAAAGGAATATAAACATCAAAATTCTTAGAACAGAGAGTAAAGTACTATGACTCTAGATTATAATAGGCAAATATTACCAGAAATTCAAATTAAATGTGAGGCTCAGTTTGACTTGAAGTAGAGGCCTAATACTATAAGATAAAGGGCAGAGAATTCATCAGATAGAAGACATATCTTTGAATGTTCTACAATATAACTTTTCAGGGTTCTGTTCTTAGGCAGCTTTTCTGTGATTTTCTATGATTTAAATTTTAGTTACATTATATGAAACTAGCAGAATAATGTGTGCTTATTCCATTTCAACAAGGTCAGGACTTCAAAAGCATATATTTAAAAATGTAATAAGTAAGGTAGTCTTCAAAAGAACTATAATGTTTCCTACTAGTTCTGTATGACAGTCCCCTTTTACTCATACCCACTAGTAATAATGGTCTTATAATTTTTCCAGTTTGATAAATAGGCCATGTTATCTGTATCACTGATAGTCTTTTCTTAGTAGGAAAGTAAGATTAAATTTTTATTATGTTTTTGCTATTCAGATCTGTGTTTATATATAAATAACACATACATATTTTATATGCTGAATTGGGTTCCCCTAATTTTCACGCTGTTGCTTCAAACTCCAGTACTTCCAAATGTGGCTGGATTTAGAGATGCGTCTTTAAAGAGAAAATTAGTTAAAATAAGGTTACTAGTACAGACCTTAAGTTCATTATAATAAGAGACGATTATAATACAGAAAGAGAGGTACAGTGGGAAGACCATGCAAGGGTACAGGGGCAAGTCAACATCTAAAAGCTAAAGAGAGATTGAAGAAGAAACTAAATCTTCTGATACTTTGATCTTAGATTACCTTCTAACACTGTAAGGAGATAAATCTAATAGTTTAGGAAGGCAAATATCATATATATATATATATATATATATATGTGTGTGTGTGTGTGTGTGTGTGTGTGTGTGTGTGTGTTTGTGTGTGTGTGTATATATATATATAGTATATGATTATATAATAAAATATTTTGAAATGAGTTATTTGGTATGGAGTAGTTGGCAAAATGGAGTAAGTAATATAGGACATAAATACAAATTAAAAGGACAGGGTAGCCAAAGAAAAGCAGTCAGTGGATTTTTAAAATATGCATTATATGGTCACAGTTACATATTTATTATAGTCTATATATAACAGATGGTATCTAGACATAAGTTGGGGGTACCAATTTTCCCTTTGTCAGATGTGAATTGAATACAACTTATTCTTCACTTACTGTGCATGATATTAGAGGCCTGGAACCCAGGGTCCTGGGGCTGTGTATCAGCTGCATTGGGGAGGAAGCGTTGCATGTTCTCTGTGATGTACCAGCTTTGGTTCTCATCAAATAGAGAAAACAGGATGACATTTCTCTTGTCTGACATCATCTGTTAATAACATTTATTAAAATGGAGAAGGAAATGTCACTCATACTATAGGTAGGAGCTAGAAGCCCAGAATAAAGGGATAGCATATAGTATACTATTAAGACATGTATTGGAAGAGGGATGGGCATTTTGAGTGATGAGTGTATGTTCAGAACTAATGCAACTTCAAGGTAGGAAGGTAAGTGGATCTAGTAAATTTCATTCCTTCTGGACCTAAGATCATACACTGTTATAATTTGTGCCAGTGTTTTCACTTTTCATATGTTTAAAGTAGAGAAATATAGATCTTTAAAACCATCCAAATTCCCTTCGCTTGGTCCTTTTACTGGGGCAGACTTGTAGCTGGTCTGCTCCTGTGAACACACCATATCCTGACCATTCCTAGAGGAACCACTGTACTCAGAGCAGAGACAGGCAGAAACATCAATGGAATACAATTGAAGACCTAGAAATGAGCCCATACATCTATGGTCACTTGATCTTTGACAAAGGAGCTAAAACTGTCCACTGGAAAAAAGACAACATTTTCAACAAATGGTGCTGGTTCAACTGTAGGTCAGCATGTAGAAGAATACAAATCGATCCATTCTTATCTCTTTGTACAAAGCTCAAATCCAAGTGGATTAAAGACCTCAACATAAAACCAGATACACTGAAACTAAATGGCAACCAACAGACTGGGAAAATATCCAAATCTCTATTAATGGGGTACAGAGCTAAACAAAGAACTCTCAACTGACGAAACTCAAATGGCTGAGAAGCATCTAAAGAAATGTTCAACATCCTTACTTATGGGAGCAAATATGGAGACAAAGTGTGGGACAGAAACTGAAGGAGCCGATGTGGATGCCAGGAAGTGCATGCTGACGGGAGCCTGATAATAGCTGTCTCCTTAGAGGTCTGCCAGAGCCTGACATACAGAGGTGGATGCTTGCAGTTAACCATTGAACAGATCATGGGGTTCCCAATGGAGGAGTTAGAAGACTGAAGGAACTGAAGGGTTTGCGGCCCCATGGGGAGAGCAATAATACCAAACAACCAGAGCTCCCAAGGTCTAAACCACCAGCCTGAGAGCACATAGGGAGGGACCCATGGCTCCAGTTGTATATGTAGGGGAGGATAGCCTTGTTGGGCATAGGTGGGAAAGGAGGTCCTTGGTCCTGTAAAGGCTGGATGCCCCAGTGTGGGGGAATTAAAGGGTGGGGAGGTGGGAGTGGGTGGTGGGTAGGGGACATCCTCATAGAAGCAGGAGGAGGGGGGGATGGGATAGGGGGCTTTTGGGTAGGGATGGGGAAAGGGGTTAACATCTGAAATGTAAAATAATGAAATTTCCAATAAAAAAAGAACATCCAAATCAAATAAAATCAATATAACTCCAAATTCTTATCTTGCAAATATCTTTACATAAGGCTACCAGCTTATAGTAAATTTAAAAACTTAAAAGGAAATGACAGGTTGAACACTGAATAATATCATAAAGATTTTGTTTAAAAAAACCCAGGATCTTAGAATACTGCTTTATATAATGAACTAAATTCATTTGTTAGTCACCTGCTAATTGAGTATAAGATTTAATATCTAAACTTCATATGTATAAATGTCATTTTATATGACCCATTGTTACAAAAGCCAAAATGCTGAAGAGGAAATTAGAGAATATATATTTCATTCTAGAAGCTTGTGGAAAAGTAAAATTAGGAAACATTCTTAGGAGAGATATTTGGTCATATACAAATATTAGTTCAAAGTCTTAGTACTCTGGATCCAAATGTTACGCCTGTATCCAAATAAATGTGCTTTGTGCATTAAACCTATGAAACTCCTTCTAACAAGTAGAAATTTATGCGTCCTAAGTAGGAAAATGAATTCATAGTCAAGCCTCAAAGTATGGCAGTAAGTTCTTCTGGAGCCAAGAAGTGAGATTTTTGTAAAGAACTAAATTTTTCTTACTCAGATAATTTTCTAAAGCAGTAGAAATAGTTTACATTCTAACCACAATCTAAGATAATTTTCTATTTTCCTCTATTTTGTTCAACAAATATTGGCTCCTTACTAAATGTCACATACTGTTGTAGATGCTAGAAATGTATTATTTTTGTTTTCGGGCAGGGTTTTGCTCATATGTCAGGCTGGCTTTGAGAAAACTCACCTAACTCAGTCTCCCCTGTACTGAGGTTGAAGGCATGTGCAACCAATATGGCTAATTTTAAGGTGCTTTTGATTCATCCATAATGAGATGTTCAGGAAAGAAACAGGCTGTAGACATAAGTTCGTAGGTTTTAAAATTTGTAGAGGCTAGGATGTATTTCAGTTAGTAGAGTGTTTGCCTAGCATGCACAAAGCCATGAGTATAGCTTGACTTTCCTGGACTTGCCAGCGTTATAAATAAAGACAAGGAGAGTTCTAATATAGTTTAAAGTTTAGGCCTTCAGCAGTCTCCCAGCTAGCTCATCTAACTTAACCCAACTATCTTGCCTCTGTTCCACTGCAGTGTCTGTTCTCCTCCCAGAGTGCTCTCTGAATCTCCCCTCTGCTTTCTTCTCCCAGTATCCCTCTCTCTGCCCAGCTTTTAGTTGTCACATCATTACTACAGCCAATCAGATACAATTATAGATTGCCTCTAGGCTAGTGATGAAGGATGGATATTTACAAAATATAAGGCCAGTAATGGGTCATAGAAAAAACAATACCAAGATACTGCCAGCACTTAGCTCTCTGACAACACAGAATTAACAACTGAATATACAGAGACACACCATCACATGTACTTCAACATACAGACCTCATCCCCAGTACTGCATAAGCTGGGCATGGTGTCACATACTATAATTCCAGTATTCACAAGGTATAGGCAAGAGGACCAGATGTCAAAGACCATCTTCAACTAAATAAAGAGTTTGAGGCAAGCCTGGAACACCTGAATCCTTGTCTCAAAAAAACAAAATGTTCATTTAAATGTAGGTGCAATTAGACAGGGCAGACTCCCGGGGGTTGGAGGAAGCAAAATCCCAGATTGGGACTGAGTTAAATAGAAAGAATCTAAGGTCCTAGCTTTCCTGTTTCTTAGAAGACAAGTTACATAGAAAACTCAAATTTAATGAAAGCTAAGTGGAACTCAGCTTAATCACTTTTATTGGGGTATATTTCCTGTAAGTTATAGAGGTACCTATATCAAGAAAGTATAGGGAATATCTAGTTCATAGGCATTTTATTTCACTTTTACTTTCAAATTTGTACTTTGGAAGAAAAGATCTCACCTGGTTTCCCCTTTGATCTACAGATTCTTTGTAGCAGATGAGAAGAGGGCCAATCAGTCCTGAAGCTAGATCTCTCTCAGGGTTAATGAAACTTGAATAATAGCGGGTCAGGCACCGTGGATCTGATTTAGTTGGTCCATCTTCTACTGTAACTGTCCATTTGTACTTGAATATCTCTCCTGGATGAATTGGCAAATCCTTCAAATGCTTTATACCTATCCACATTCAAACCAGAAATAGATTATTAGAATATAATGAGGTACATATTTTGTAATGTTGAATTAAGTTTGGCCCAAACCTGTGTGTGTGTACACACACACACACACACACACACACACATCTCAAGTTCTCTGTGCATTGAAACTGTAACCTAATTGGTATATGGATATTTTTAACCTAACTTGGAAATATATTCTTATAACAAGTAGCATATCATAACAGCCAAACCTCCAGCCCATTAAAGGCTGAAGCTGTGAAAATATTGTATAAAAAACTTGCTGGCTGAATTTAATCAGGCTATTTCTATATCACTTTCTGTTCTCTATCTATAAATATAGTTCTCTCCCTCTCTGTAGTAAGGTGACACATTCTGAATCATTTTTAGTCCAAAATTAATTCATGAATTACTTCAAGTTCAGTGTGTCTAAAGTTCCCCTTTTCATACTAATCATGTTATTTCAAGGGAACTACTAATCCATGTACATTTGAAATTTTTCAGTTAACAGAAAGTAAAATGGCACTGGTAGCAAATTTAAGAATCACATAATTATTTTATACTATAAAAATGGGCTGAGGAGAATTTTCTATAAAACTATAAACATGTATTTTTCTTCTTTCCAGCCCCTGCTCCCAGAATGATGACTCTCAAATCAATTATTTAATAATATATGCCTAGGCCATAAACTTTAGCTTATTCCCTGACCAACTCAAAACTCATTTAATCCATTTGAACTATTCTATGTCTTCCACATGGTTAGTTTACCTCTCCTTCTTTCTTACCATCTTCTTCAGCATCTCTCTCAGCATCTCACTCAGTGTCTCATTTGAATCTCTCCTGTCTCTATCGTGAGTTCAGCTACCTGGTAGTTTATGTCCGTCTCTCTTTATTCTCTCACTCTTTTCCAGAATCCTCTTTCTTCCTGCCGGTGTCTCACCTATTATTTCCTGCCTTAGTTCATTGGCCATTGGCTTTTATAATTGACAGGTGTTGCTTATAAGAGATTCTCTCCAAGATATTCCATGACAAAACCAAATTTACACAATATCTTTCCACAAACCCGGCATTACAAAGGATATTAGCGGGAAAGCTCCAATACAAGGAGGGAAATTACACCCTAGACAGAGCAAGAAAGTAATCCTCTTCCAACAAATTCAAAAGAAGATAGCCACACAAAGATAATTCCACCTCTAATAACAAAAATAACAAGAAGCAACAATCACTGTTCCTTAATATTTCTTAACATCAATGGACTCAATTCCCCAATAAAAAGACATAGGCTAACGGACTGGATACATAAACAGGTCCCAGCATTTTGCTGCATACAGGAAACTCACCTCAGTGACAAAGACAGATACTACCTTAGAGTAAAAGGCTGGAAAACAATTTTTCAAGCAAATGGTCCTAAGAAACAAGCTGGAATAGCCATTCTAAAACCTCCAGCCCGAGAACACAAAGGGAGGGACTCATGGCTCCACTTGTATAGGTAGTTGAGGGTGGCCTTGTCAGGCATCAGTGGAAGTGGAGGGCCTTAGTACCCAATAGTTTGGATTCCCTAGTGTTGGGGAATTTGAGGGCAGGGAGGCGGGAATGGGAGGATGGTGGGAGCACACCCTCAGAAACTCCCAGAATTATATGGATTAGATATGATAGAGACAGGCCACCAGAAGACTAGATTCCAGAATTCAAACAAAAAATATCTTGATACTAAAATTTGTTTTGAGATTGTATATTGCAGAATACACAGCCTTGATGTATCTACTCAGCAAGCAAGCTGAGCAGAACTGCTCAAACCTCTGATGTCCTGGAATCTCAGCTGAATGCAGTAAAAACACAGGCGTCAGAGGCTTACCAATTTACTTTTCCCCCTGCCCCTCTTCTAATATCTCAATGCTCATAATCAGCTTGAAGAAGTTAATGAAGAGTCAGCGCCCCTATTCCCTGGGCTTGGGGACTGAGGTGGTTAACATTGGGCTGTCTTTCCAGGGAAAGGTGGTAGTTTTGTTGGAACAGGGAGGAATAGCTAGGATTTATTGCATAGCCATAACCTACTGGTAGAAATCTGTATAATTGTTATTAAGCTGAAGTTATAATTTCTTAAATGATACAAAATTTACTTTGATTTCAACTTTAAGGTTTTCATTGGTAAGAGTTTCTTATTGATATAGAAGTGAGATTAATATTGTTACTCTCATAGGCATTGTGCCTATATAACACATTTAGGAACACAAGGCTTAGACCCAGTCCTTCTTTAACTTTTTTAACTGATTTGAGATGATTAGCCTGTGAGTTAAGGGCCTATAGCAAATTCATGGCTCTGAGTTTATTGTTAGGGTGTTTTCTATATTTTATTTAGAAATAGCTGAGAGGAGTTAACAGACAACAGTCTAGATTGCCTTACATGGATAGTTGGTTTTCAAAATGTCAGAAGTCCATAAAAGTGATGTTACAAACATTTCTGCATTAAAGTTCATTTTGAATAGAGACCTATCTGCTCCGGACATCTTCCTGTCTTGGATTCTAAGAAGAAATTGAGCGTCTTTAGAGTTACTCCAGTTGTGGTGAGACAGCCACTAGGCAAGAATTGCCTCTTTTCATCTATAGACAAATTACTGTCCTGAAAAGGACACACTTGTGGAATAGTCGACTGATTATATCTGCCAAGACAGAGTAATCAGCCCTTAATAATTCTGCATCACTAGGTCTGTCAGAAGGTCCTGGGCCAGAAGGCTGAAGATCGGATGCTCCAACGTTTTGTAGTATAGGGACTGTCCAGGTGTTCAGCGGTCTCTATAAATTGGCTAAGTTTTAGAAGCTATGCTTTGTGGTTCCTATAATTTCAGTCAATTCAGTCATTCTGGATTTCTGACAGGGTTGAAGATTTATAGTCTCATAGCCAATCCCGGATATTTACATTGAGAGAAAAGACTTGAGAGGATAGGATGGCTTTCAGCTGACATTCATTCTAAAGCCAAGAAAAAAGCCAGGTTCAGAACTAAGTCTTTTAGTTAGGAGAGATGACAGAGGTTCTGGTTGGTCAACAAAATGATGGACTGGGTATTAGGTGTATCTTGTACCTTACTAATACAAATTGGAATAGTTATGCTCTAATTGTTTTTGAGAGAAAACTTTTATCTCAACAGGAAGAGTGATATGTAGGAGGAGCTACGGTGGGAGGAGTAAGGAGAGGAAGAGGAGGAGTTGAGAGAGGAGGAGGAGCTAGGAGACAAGGGGGCAGGGAGGCAAACATGGAGGCGGATGTTCGAGTGTCTCCGCAGGTCAAAGATAGTTGGTATATCTAGGTTGGGTATTGGATTATGCTTCTGATTGTATGGGCATCTTGTTATTTAGCATTACCAAATTTATAAAGCCTTTGATTAACATTTTTAAAAAATAGTAATAATAAAAAAATACACATTAAAAAAGAAATTAGAAGATAATATTTAAGTAATTATAGGCTGAATAATAATATATTATTTAAACAATATTAAAATACTTTAATTAAATAATTAAGAAATAATTAAATAATTGTACAGAAATGGAATAAAGATTTCTGCAAAGGCAAAAAAAAGAGAATCTCTCTATGCTTTTCATAACATATTAGTTTAAAAAGGTTTACCTCTTATTACAAGTAATAGAAGTAATAAAAATATTTGTATACTCTTACATAAGGAAGAATAATCTATTTTATTTTAAAAATAAAATTATTAGGACTGTGGACAAGAAAAGAACAACAGCATATTATCTAGTTCTATGGTAAATATATTTGTAAAATGATCTTGTATTACTAAAATGGTATAAATGCTACCTTTGTATTTATTGTTTTTAGAATAAATGTTTAGACAAAGTGGAGAAGAATTATGTAAAATTATTATGAAAATAGTGTGTCAACAGATGGAGTTGTACCTCAAGTATATCTACATCAAGAAAGACCAATAAACTGAGATCCTAATTACCTCTTGGCAATCTCCTTGCATGTAGAGGGCTGACATCAGTGATTCCATGAGGGTAAATATTATATGGTCGGCTTGCTTGATTCTTAAATATAATCTGAAAGTACAAGTGAGATATGAGATCAAGTCCTAGGATGACTAGGTTCAACAAGAAAACTGTGCTAGCTCTAGAAAATCAAAAGCTGCCTGTATCTCTATTATAGGTCTGAGCTGTAAATAAAACACAATATATTTGCTCAGTTCATGAAAAGGAAGCCCAGGGAGCTGGTTGGATTTGTCATAGCCTTTTCAATTTCACTTCCTTTAGCAAGTATTGCCTGCATCTCGCACACAAAGTGAAACCTGGGCATTTGCTAAGGCTACAGCCTCTCCTCAATCTTTCTGTATTCTTGGCACTTAACACACAATACTTGAGAAGAAGATAGTGATTCAGGTTATAAGAGTTATCACTTAATAAGCAGGTATACCTAGAAAACAATTTACAGCCTCAAGCAAGGGTGGCAGGTGACACTGTCAGATTATAAAAGCTTTAAACATGATAAAAAAAAAGCAGTAAAATTGAAACAGCACTGAATGCTTGAAGACTACCTCTAGATCTGAGCATATGGTTTGTATTTAAAAGTTAATGAAAGAAAAAAAGTAATCAAAAAGTTCTGGGAGAATATGTATACCAGTCTAAATAGTGAGTAGTTAAAAAAGATTGTGAGGGAAGAAGTCCTGGATTGGGTGTCCTGACATCATGAGGTTCCGGTTCTGTGGTGATCTGGACTGTCCCGACTGGGTCCTGGCAGAGATTAGCACACTGGCCAAAATTTCCTCTGTGAAGCCGCGGCTGCTGTGTAGCCAGGTGCTAAAGGAGCTTCTGGGGCAGGGGATTGATTATGAGAAGATCCTGAAGCTGACTGCTGATGCCAAGTTTGAGTCTGGAGACGTGAAGGCCACCATCGCAGTGCTGAGTTTCATCCTCTCTAGTGCAGCCAAGCATAGTGTGGACAGCGATTCCTTGTCCAGTGAACTGCAGCAGCTGGGGCTGCCCAAAGAGCACGCCACCAGCCTGTGCCGCTGTTATGAAGAGAAGCAGAGCCCCCTACAGGAGCACCTTCGGGCCTGCAGCCTACGTGTGAACAGGCTAGCCAGCGTGGGCTGGCGGGTAGACTACTCCCTGAGTTCCAGCCTGCTTCATTCTGTGGAGGAGCCCATGGTACACCTGCAGCTACAGGTTGCGCCCGCTCCAGGTACCCCGACCCAACCTATTTCCATGTCGCTCTCAGCAGACAAGTTCCAGCTGCTCCTGGCAGAACTAAAGCAAGCACAGACCCTGATGACTGCTTTGGGCTGAGAAGGGTGTTCTTCTGTGGAGCCGCCCTTCGTGAACTGAGTGACTTCCCTCCACACTCCTCTTGCAAGGGCCTGACCTCTTGAGTCCTGGGTAGGGAGGGCTACTAAGCATCTTCCCCAGAATTGCCTTCTTTCTTTTGAAAGGAAGTACTTGTCAACCATTTTTATGGGCAAGAAGAATAAACAAGCGTACAGTGTGAAAAAAAAGATTGTGAGTGTGATTGGTCACATGACATTTTTCCATATACTCATTATATATGAATTGGTTTTATTTCTGCAATATTTATAAATTTTAAAAGATTCTGTCCATTGGAGACAAGGCTAAATTTTGAACGATCACAGAAATTCAAACCATCTTTTCTTTTAAAAAAGATTTATTTTATTTATGTGTATGAATGTTTTGCCTATATGTATGTATGTGTACCACATTTATGCCTGGTACCCATGGAGGTCAGCAGAGGCCTTTGGATTCTCTGGGACTAGAGATAAAAATGGCTTTAAGGCCTTTTGGCTGGGGCAGACACCTGGCTGGTCTGCTCCTAGCAGATACCTTATCCTGAACCTTACCAGAGCAGCAGTGGTGTAACCACTGCACTCAGAGCAGCTGAGGAACCACTGCACTTGGAGCAGCAGAGGAACCACTCAGAGCAGCAGGATTTCAGGATCTCAGAGGCAGCCTGAGTCCCAGCAGTTCTTCCACCCAGGAGCTCAGAATAACAGGAAAACAGAGACAACTGGAATCTGAAGAGTTCTGACACAAGCAAGATAACTGGAAAGATAGTCTCCAGTCAGAGACAGTGAGTGCAGGTAGCACTAGAGATAACCAGATGGTGAAAGACAAGCATGAGAACATAAGCAACAGAAACCAAGGTTACCCGGCACCATCACAAGCCAGTTCTCCCACCATAGCAAGTCCTGGACACCCCATCACACCAGAAAAGCAGGAATCAGACTTAAAATCACTTCTCATGATGATGATAAGGGACTTTAAGAAGGACATAAACAACTCCCTTAAAGAAATACAGGAGAACACAGGTAAACAGGTAGAAGCCCTTAAATAGGAAACACAAAAATCCCTTACAGAATTGCAAGAAAACACAACCAAACAGGTGAAGGAATTAAACAAAACCATCCAGGATCTAAAAATGGAAGTAGAAACAATAAAGAAATCTCAAACGGAGACTACTCTGGAGATAGAAAACCTTGGGAAAAGATATGGAGTCATAGATGCAAGCATCACCAACAGAGTACAAGAGATAGGAGAGAGAATCTCATGTGCAGAAGATACCATGGAAAACATTGACACAACTGTCAAAGAAAAGGCAAAATGAAAAAAGCTCCTAACCCAAAACATCCAGAAAATCCAGGACACAATGAGAAGACCAAAACTAAGGATAATAGGTATAGATGAGAGTGAAGATTCCCAACGTAAAGGGCCAGTAAATATCTTCAACAAAGTTATAGAAGAAAACATCCCTAACCTAAAGAAAGAGATGCCCATGAACATACAAGAATCCTACAGAACTACAAATAGACTAGACCAGAAAAGAAATTCTTCCCGTCACATAATAATCAAAACACCAAATGCATAAAACAAAGAAAAAAATACTAAAAGCTGTAAGGGAAAAAGGTCAAGTAACATATAAAGGCAGACCTATCAAAATTACACCAGACTTCTCACCAGAGACTATAAAAGCCAGAAGAGCCTGGACTGACATCATACAGACCCTAAGAGAACACAAGTGCCAGCCCAGATCACTATACCCAGCAAAACTCTCAATCACTATAGATGGTGAAACCAAGATACTCCATGACAAAACCAAATTTACACAATATCTTCCCAAAAATCCAGCATTACAAAGGATAATACATGGAAAACTCCAACACAAGGAGAGAAACTACAACCTAGAAAAAGCAAGAAAGTAATCTTCCAACAAACCAAAAAGGATAGCTACACAAACATAATTACACCTCTAATAACAAAAAAATAACAGGAAGCAACAATCACTTTTCCTTAATATCTCTTAACATCAATGGACTCAATTCCCCAATAAAAAGACATAGACTAACAGACTGGATATGCAAACAGGACACAGAATTTTGCTGCATATAGGAAACACACCTCAGCAACAAAGACAGACACTATCTCAGAATAAAAGGATGGAAAACAATTTTCCAAGCAAATAGTCCCAAGAAAAAAGCTGGAGTAGCCTTTCTAATTTGGAATAAAATGGACTTTCAACCAAAACTTATCAAAAAAATAAGGAAGGACACTTCATACTCATCAAAGGAAAAATCTACCAAGATGAACTCTCAATTCTGAACATCTATGCTCCAAATGCAATGGCACCCTCATTCATGAAAGCAACTTTACTAAACATGAAAGTACACATTGCACCTCACACAATAACAGTGGGAGATTTCAACACCCCACTCTCAGCAATGGACAGATCATGGAAACAGAAACTAAACAGAGACTGTAAGAGTAAAAATTAAAAACAACTTGGCAAAGACCGCCGGACGGCTTGCTGAGCTTGCTGAGAATAGCCATAATAAAAATATCAAGCCCCTCTAGGGACGAGGTGACCAAAAATGTAGAAACAACCAAAGACATATCTTGACCAGTCTAAACATGCCCAAGTGAGTAATGGGCCACCTGGTGTTTATCCTAGAAGGTCTGAGGTTTCATGGTCAAAAATAGTGGGCCATCCAGCCAGTCAAAATGATTGCTTACGCAAAGTGCTGATGTTTGAAATATCCAATTATATGTAACCGCGCCAGAATTTCCCACTTTTCCCTTCCCCCTTGGGCCTCCCCCTATAAAAGTTCTAAACTTCCTGGGGTCTTCATCGAAATTCTCTCCCCTGTGTGGGATGAGTTTCGATCCAGGGGCCCTTGTTAGTAAACTGCCTTTTGCCATTTGCATCGAGTCAGTCTCTCGTGTCTCCTTGGGTGCACACTGATCGGGATTTGAGTTGGGGGTCCTCTTCGTGGGTCCTTACAAGACACAGTGGAATTAACAGAAGTAATGAACCAAATGGATTTAACAGATATCTATAGAACATTTTATACTAAAACAAAAGAATATACCTTTTTCTCAGCACCTCATGGAACCTTCTCAGAAATGGATCATATAATTGGTCACAAAGCAGGCCTCAACAGATACAAAAATATAGAAATAATCCCTTGCATCCTATCAGGTCACCATGGACTAATGCTGGTCTTCAATAATGACAAAGACAATGGAAAGCCCACATACACGTGGAAACTGAACAATGCTCTATTCAATGATGACTTGGTCAAGGAAGAAATAAAGAAAGAAATTAAAGACATTTTAGAATTTGATGAAAATGAGGACACATCATACCAAAACATGTGGGACTCCATGGAAGCAGTGCTAAGAGGAAAACTCATAGCTCTAAGTGCCTACAAAAAGAAACTGAAAGCTCTAGAACAAAAAGAAGCAAACACAACCAAGAGATGTAGAAGGCAGGAAATAACCAAACTCAGGACTGGAATCAACCAAGTAGAAACGAAATGAACTATACAAAGTATCAACAAAACCAGGAGCTGGTTCATTGAGAAAATCAACAAGATAGATAAACCCTTACCCAGACTAACCAGAGGTCACAGAGACAGTATCCAAATTAATAAAATTAGAACTGAACAGGGAGACATAACAACAGAAACTGAGGAAATTCAAAAAATCATCAGATCCTACTGCAAAAGCCTATACTCAACAAAACTGGAAAATATGGATGAAATGGACAATTTTCTAGACAGATACCAGGTACCAAAGTTAAATCAGGAGCAGATAAACCATCTAAACAGTCCCATAACCCCTAAAGAAATAGCACCATTCATTAAAAGTCTCCCGACGAAAAAAAGCCCAGGGTCAGAGGGTTTTAGTGCAGAATTCTATCAGACATTCAGGGAAGACCTAATACCAATTCTCTTCAAACTATTTCACAAAATAGAAACAGAAGGAATACTACCAATTTCGTTGTATGAAGCCACAATTATGCTCATACCTAAACCACAGAAAGACACAACAAAGAAAGAAAACTTCAGACCAATCTCCCTTATGAATATCGATGTAAAAATACCCAATAAAATTCTCACAAACCAAATCCAAGAACACATCAAAACAATCATCCATCGTGATCAAGTAGGCTTTATCCCAGGAATGCAGGGATGGTTCAATATTCGGAAATCCATCAATGTAATCCACTATATAAACAAACTGAAAAAAAAAACACATGATCATCTCACTAGATGCTGAGAAAGCATTTGACAAAATTCAACATCCCTTCATGGTAAAAGTCTTGGAAAGATCAGGAATTCAAGGCCCATACCCAAAAATACCAAAAGCAATGTACAGCAATCCAGTAACCACCATCAAACTAAATGGAGAGAAACTTGAAGCAATCCCACTAAAATCAGGGACCAGAGAAGGCTGTCCACTCTGTCCCGACCTTTTCAATATAGTACTGGAAGTACTAGCCAGAGCAATTAGACAACAAAAAGAAGTCAAAGGGATACAAATAGGAAAGGAAGAAGTCAAAATACCACTATTTGCAAATGATATGATAGTATACTTAAGTGACCACAAAACTTCCACCAGAGAACTCCAAAATCTGATAAACAACTTCAGCAATGTGGCTGGTTATAAAATCAATTGAAACAAATCAGTAGCCTTCCTATAATCAAAAATTAGGGAAATGACACCCTCCTCAATAGTAACAAATAATATAAAATACCTTGGCGGGAGCAAGCAAAAAATTTGTATGACAAGAACTTCAAGTCTCTGAAGAAAGAAATCGAAGATACCAGATGATGGAAAGACCTCCCATGCTCATGGATTGGCAGCATTAATATAGTAAAAATGGCCATCTTGCCAAAAGCAATCTAGAGATTCAATGCAATCCCCATTAAAATCCCAACTCAATTCTTCACAGAGTTAGAAAGAGAAATTCTCAAATTCATCTGGAATAAGAAAAA